GGAGTAATGAAACGAAGGAGGCGGAAAGAAAGAAACCAAGAAAGAAAAGTAGAACCAGCCTCCAGCCCCGTCGTCGACTTAGACCAACATCACCCCTCTGATCCACTCCTTGAAGCCTTTCTCGACGCTCTTGGAAAAGCTGACCCAAAACGCCATGGTCTCGCTCACGGGCGGCGGGCAGTACTCGACGATGGCCTTGACGTGCAGTTCCCGCAGGCCCCTCAGCCACAGCAGCTGCTCGACCCACTCAAAGTCCACGCCGGCTATCGCCTTCAGGCCCAGCCCGTACAGCAGGTCCCCGTCCAGCGCCGGCCTGCTCGGGTCGTCCGCCGCGCCGCCGTTGTTGTCCGTCGGCGTGGCCGTGCCGGACGACGGCCTGCTCCCGAGGCTCCGCGGCTGGATGAGCCGGAAGTGCTCGACGGCGAGCGCGGGCACCTCGTCCCACCCGCTTCTTCCCTCCTCATCACTACTACTAGCAGCAGCCGCGGGCGGCGGCTTCCCGGCAACGACGCCGAGCGAGAGGGTCAGCGCCGGCACGGCGAGCTCGCGCGCCATGTACTCGCAGGCGGCGCGCCACTCGGCGCGGTCGAACTCCTTGACGGACGGCAGGGCGCGCTTGACGAGGGCGACGCGGGCGACGCGGGCGCGGGCGGGCGGGGTGAGGGCGGCCAGGAAGGGCACGACGGCCTCGACGTGCGTGTCGAAGTCGAAGACGTAGGCGCCGTACAGCAGCTCCGCGGCCTCGGCGTGGCACTGGCGGCACGCGCGCAGGATGGCCGGGTGCAGGCCCGGGTTGTTGGCCAGCGCGTACGTCGTCGTCACGGTGCGGGTGCGCATGGCGTCGCGGATGTGGTAGCGCGGCCGCGTCGGCGAGGAGAGGATGGACGAGGCGGCCGCGCTGTCCGGGTCGAGGGTGCGGATCTGGAGGGTGCGCGGGGCGCGGAGATGGTGGGAGGCGGTGGTGGTGGCGCCGCTCTGCTGCTGCTGCTGCTGCTGCTGCTCCTCATCCTTGCGGTAGACCGGGGCGACGAATTTGGCGCTGGGAGGACATGGCTCGCTGGATGCGGGCGGGAGGAGCAGTTCTTCGTAAATCATGAGACGGATCTCGGTAGGGAGACGCAAGAACGGGGATGTCTGCTTGACCATTGCGGCGGGCTGAGAACGGGAAAGGGCGGAGCAATGGTTGGGAAGTGAGAGCAGGCAAGTCCACGGTGATGCTAGAGAAGGGAAAAAAAGCTGGCGGCAGGTCTCTGCGTCCGGCCGGGAACAAGTGCGCACATCGGGCCTTATGGAGGTTCGGTCGGGAACGGGAGAAGAGTAATCGGGAAGTAGTAATCTGTTGCGTGGGCGCGGGCATCATGGTGTGCAATGCCACGCCGGCGCTCCACAAGCGCGATGACGGCACCAGGGCGCCAGGGTATGCTTATCGCGACCGCGCGGGCTGCCTCGGACTGGATTCGGCTCCCTCCCGATCGGCGCCTGCCATTGGCCGCTGCCTGGGCCAGAAGAGCAAAAATCCCAACAGCAGATCAGCCTCTTACTAAGGCCAGCGCCTGCAGCGAGTCGCGCCACTGGCGGCACCCAGGGCCTCCTGCCGCTGCGTAGACTCTCGTACATTGATTGTACCGTCTGACTTCGACCCTGTCCCCCAGGCCTTGTCTCCAAACCCAAGCCACGCCCCATGGAGTCTCCGCAGCAAATTGGCCCAAACGCCCCCCCGCTCGCTGTCAGTGTCCACCTTAACGCCCGCGCTGATGCAATAATATCAATGTCTCACCTGATACTTCTGACTAACCCCAGGAACCCCCCGTCCTATCGCGACATCTCTGTGGTGTTGCGGTTCCGCCTCGCGCCTGTCCGCAGGGCCCGGGGCCAGGGGGTTTGGTTTTGTCTCCACGCAGGGCCACTATTCCTCCACTTCTCCTTCTTCGCTGAGGTCCTCTTCCGCGGCTGTTTTCTTCCCTTCCTCCGCCGGCGCCTGTGCTTCTGCTGCCGCCCCGTTTGCTTCTGTCCTGATACGTTTTGCATCCGGCTCTCCTGCGGATCCGCTCTCCTTGTCGTCGTGCTTCACCGCTTCCGCCGGCTCGGCTTCGTTCTTTCGACTTCCATTGGCATTGCCGTCTCCATTCTCTACTCTGGTTATATCGTCGCGCGACCGCTTGACGCCTTGCTCGCTGCTTGTCCGCTCCATGCCGACAGAGCTGGGTGCAGGGCTCGTGGGCGTCTGCGATGTCCTTAGCCTCGTCTGCGCGTACAGGGGATCGCCGTCCTCCGGGGTCCGTAGACCTACGTAGATGCTCTCGCCGCCCTTCTGCGGCGTGACATTCTCGTAGATGTTGGCCATGTAGTTGCACGCCCGTCTGATGTCCCTCAGCTTGACGTGCTGGATTTCCCACCATGGCTTGCCATCCTCATCCTCGAACGCAACCTCGCACAGCCGAGCCCCGCAGTACAGTGCCGCCGCTGCTATCGTCCGGGACGTGAAGAGCAGGCACAGCTGGGTAAGATTACTGTCGTTGATGAAGCTCCACGCCGCGTTTCGAAGCCGCTTGTGGTGCTCGACGTTTTGATAGACCAACATTTCGAACAGGATCTTGTGCGGCGACTCGATCGTCAGGTCGAAGCAGATGGTCTCGAGCAGAACGTCTTCGTTGTAGAGGATGGTGTCGCGCCATCGCCAGAAATCCTTTGTCTGCTCGTCCACGAGGAGGTTCGGATTCTTCTGCGCGACCCGACAGCATGCAACAACCAGCTCTTTCATTTTGCGGCAGTTCTCCTCCACCTTGGTCGCGAGGAACAGCGATGTGGCGGCGATTTGCTGAGTCGATCAGAAAGGCGCTTTCGGGCGGGGAAGGGCACCTACATAGTGATGAAGCGCCTTGTATCCGTCCTTGCTGACGAGGGAGCGGCGGACGATGAAGCGGTTCAAGAAGACACCGGCCGTCGACAGCGTAAGCTGCGGTAGCTTCAACATGGCGCCGACCTGGTATATGAAAGTCATGCCCTTGTAGCGCATTTCTTTCTCCGTCTCCGGCGACATGCCATCCTCGATCGAGGGCGTGTGCAACAGCTCTTCTTCCGTGAATATCCACTGCTGTTCGTTCTGCACGGCGACCGGGTTCGGCGGGCGGGGTCGCTCACGCGGACGCGTTGGTGCGGTGGGTTGCGAAGGCATGTTGGTGGAGCGCGAACGCGTCGCAGCCTCTAGGGAAAGTAGCTCGTGCGGTGGTGCCGGAGGTGGGTGCGGCGTGCGGACATTGATGGAGGTGGCCGCAGCGACGTTTGCGGTCAGAAACCCAGTTAAAGAACGTACGAGGACCCTGTGGCGGTCGTGGGCGTGCCGCGCCGGTCGAGAGAGATTACGGTGGGAATGCGACGATGGACGGAGGATGCGAAAGTAAAATGCCGATCGGGGACAGTGGACCGCGCCCGTTGATGTCGTGGCTGGCTCCCCCCGCCCAAACTGTGGAGAGTGCGGCCACGAGTTCTGGCCTCAGCCTTACGGGGTTGCTCCGCTGTCCTCTTGAGCGCTCGCTCGCAACCCCGAGCTCTTGCAAGCTATCCGCAGGCCGTCCAGACAACCCTACAGTCCCGCCCTGCCAGTCGCTCGTTAACCCGCCAATTGACTCGTCTACGCTCCTTCGCAACCACTCTCCTACTATGGCCGCCACCAAGAACAAGTACTCGGTGCTCCTCCCTACCTACAACGAGCGGCGCAACCTCCCCATCATCATCTGGCTGCTGGCCAAGACCTTTACTGAGAAGTACGCTTGTCGCCTACCCCCGGTCTGTTGGAACATGCCCCTGACTCTTCTGCAGCAACCTTGATTGGGAGGTCGTCATCGTCGACGATGGCTCCCCCGACGGCACCCAAGACGTGGCCAAGCAGCTCCAGAAAGTCTACAGCCCCGAGCGCGTTCTGCTGAAGCCTCGCGCTGGCAAGCTGGGCCTGGGAACGGCCTACGTCCACGGCCTGCAGTTCGCGACCGGCAACTACGTCATCATCATGGATGCCGACTTCTCGCACCACCCCAAGTTCATCGCCGAGATGGTCAGGGTCCAGAAGGAGAACAACTACGACATTGTCACCGGCACTCGCTACGCCGGCAACGGTGGCGTCTACGGCTGGGACCTCAAGCGCAAGTTCGTCAGCCGTGGTGCCAACCTGTTTGCCGACACCCTGCTGCGTCCTGGCGTGAGCGACTTGACCGGTAGCTTCAGGCTGTACAAGAAGGAGGTGTTGCAGAAGGTCATTACGAGCACCGAGAGCAAGGGATACACATTCCAGATGGAGATGATGGTCAGGGCGAAGGCTATGGGCTTCTCGGTTGCCGAGGTTCCCATCAGCTTCGTCGACCGCCTGTACGGAGAGAGCAAGCTGGGCGGAGATGAGATTGTTGAGTACGCCAAGGGCGTCCTCAACCTGTGGCTCAAGGTCTGAGATATCCGCTGGACGCAGTGAGCATGGCGTACGCATTCTGATTGGCGTTGGAGGACACGGCGGCACTGGATGAGCCGGTTAACTTACTAATATCCACATTTGCGAAAATGAAAGTGCTTCCACCAGTGCTTGACGGTTCCGGCTGTGCGGTGGTTAGAATCTACGAGGATGCATGCGTAATCTATGTTCCCATGTATAGTAGTTCTCTTTCTAAGCCCGATGGTACAGCCCGAAAGATCGACGCGCAGCACAGGCACCAGCCTTCAACCAACAGGTAGCTGTGTCACAATCGCCAATCAACAACGGAATTGCCCGAAGGATTCCGCACAGCCCTGTACACAACTGCCACCACCAACGTGGTCTCTCAAACAGGTGTCCAAGAAGATGATCGGACGGCTCGAGGAACAGAGATTCGGCCTGTTTCAATGCGCACGTAGACCTTTCCGCAGCGTGAGGCTGTGTGAGTGGTCCTTCGAATCCTCCCAAAATCACCAGCACGTAGAACCTCGCTGCCTAGCCACCTTGAAAAGGTATATGTACGCCGGATCACCGTCGTACACTGAGATACCATCACCCTCCCATCGTTACTATACTGTGTTCTCCCCTAGCACACACCAGTCTACTCAATATGCCTCCCAAAGACCCCTCCTCCCCTTCCAAGCCAGGCGCTGTACCCCTGCGTCGCGTCACCATCTTCACCTTTCCACCGGCGTTTCTCCTCCTCCTTGTCCATGGAATTGCCAGCAATAGACCTTTCCCCGCTCTTGGCCTGTTGCCGCTCGCCGGTTCGGCCATCCTTGGTTGCCTGATCCTCTACCACGACCGCGTCGTTGGCAGCGGCTCGTCCATCCAGCGACCCACTACCTCTAACATCTTCTTCGCCGATGTTCTGCTGGCCATCATGCTGCTCGCGATCCTGATTGCGAGCTGGGTCACTCTGACCAAGAACTTGTGGCGGTATGACAATGGTTCGCTGATCATTTTGGGAACATACTGCACCGTGTTCCTGCTGGTGAACTTGTAAGTTCCTCTCTAGTCCTTTTCCCTCCTTCCTTGCGTCTTCTTTTTGGCTGGAACGATGCGCTGACCGGCTCACGCAACAGCATCATTCACGCTTATTTCGCTGGTTTGCAGTTTCTGCACATGATGACGGCCCGGTCTTGCAACTGTGCGCATTGTCAAAGCGTCACAAAGAGCGGTCCTCTAATGCGCATGGTGTCGGAGTACTCTCCTCTCAACGGGGACGACCTCGACGAGGAGGACTCATATACGGATGTTGAGGCTGGCAACAGAACAACCTCACTGTGATGCAAATCACTGAAGTCCACATCCGACAAGCTTTGGACAAACCCTGCTCACTCTCTGAAAGCAGTTGTTGAAGGCTTCGAAAGACAGACCACACCCTTTCATTACCATATAAGTTTGAGAAACTAGATTGTAAGACACTGCACTATGCGTAATATTATACGGTAGATGGTAGTATCTGGAGTAGCAGTAGTTTATCTTTTAATGGAAACACATTGTTGCTATCCGCGAAAGGTAAATTTGCGTCTATTCACTGGGCTGGTGCTTCCATCGCAGCGTACCGTTGTTGCTCTGTTAGAATGCACGTCAGTCTTACTGTAAGCATTGGTTCTCGGTTAAGTTCGCTGCTCTTCCTTTGTATGAACCGTGTTACTTCATGCCAGCCCCCGCAAGGGCTGCTTCCCCTTGGAACTCCCTGGGAGTATTTTCCTCAGTCCCCCACTCCGTCACGATCTTGCCTGCGTACAGCCAACTAAGCAATTTGAACACGCATCATCCTTAGCCTCACATCACATTGCCTGTTTAAACGGCAGCTGGCTTGACGAACGGCTTTCTCCCCGTTGCAGAGCGTTCCTCGCCACCTTCACAGGACCCTTGACGAGAGCGCCTGCTCTTGTCCAGCCCGTGCCTAACGTCACTCTTGCTCACCAATCTCACAACGGACACCAGTAACTAGACTAAATCTGGCCCAGAAAAGATCGAATGGATGAATCAACAAGTTCGATCTCCCCCGCGATCGTTTTCCGCGATTGAATGAAGATTGGTTTGACCGCACTAACTCTTGGCCTGGCACAATCAGGATCGAGCTGCGCAAGTCATGTGTCGAGGCCTTGAACTTACCATTCAACAACACATCGAGATGGAGCGCACTACTGTCTTCTTGCTGAAACAGCACGCCAGCAATGGCCGGTCGTGGGACGCGGTCGTTGAAACTCAACACATATCAGATGATATGGCACAAATCTTCTTGCTATCGAGACCCGTGTCGGCAGGACGATATGCTCAACACTCAGAGCCCCCCATGACAGCCTCAAATATGCAAGCTCTGCGGCCAGTTCACATCACAAACTATTACTTCTCAGGATCGAGTGAACCTCCGACCAATCGATCAGCGCTACATATCTCGACAAGGATACAGTCAGGTTTCCCAACCCAGCTGCTACAGGACGAACAGGTGGGCCAACTTTGTGCCGCATCTGGCGCCGATGCGGATGTTCTCCAGTCCCGGACGCCTGTCTTTTGGGGTTACACAACTGATTGAGGCCACCAATGACACGGAAAGGACAGACAGCACAGCGGAATGATTGCACGAGCACAAAGGTAGGGTATAATACCATATAGATCTTCTCTGCATAATGCCTCCCAGTCTCCCCAATCCGGTTCACTGCCTCTCCATCTTTTCCACGTGTACTGAAACCCACAAAATAATATGCCGCCCCGTCCATGCCCATGATGCATGCATGCATGCAAGCCCCAGACTGGAGCTCAAACGACATTATCACCGACGACCTTGAAAACCGAGCTGCCAGAACCAGGCTTGCTAACGACGATCGCGGACTCGAGCTTCTCGTCTGTGATGTCGGGCCACTTTTTCCTATAGTACTTCTCCACCCACTTGGTCTTGACCTTCTCAACCTTGTCCTTTGGCACGAGATGCACGCTGCAGCCACCCCAGCCGGCGCCAGTCAGCCTGCTGCCCACCGCGCCGGCGCTGATGGCCAGCTCGCAGAGCTCGTCGAGTTCCGGGCAGCTGCATTCGTACAGGTCGCGGCATGACTCTTGCGTCTCGTTCATCAGCGCCCCCAGCTGTTGCAGCAGCTCGGTTGTCTTGCCGTCCTTGGGTGCCGGCGGGTTGTCCAGCAGATCGAGGAACCTGGCCACACGCAGGGATTCGCTGAAGACGTGCATGGCACGCTGCTTGAGCTTGAAGCGCTCCGCACGCACGGCAAACTTGGACTCGAAGCGCTCCTTGAGCTCGTCCACGCTGACGCCCAGCATCTCTGCAATCTGCTCACGGGTATATCCATCCTCCTGGGTGAGGTAATTCTCACACATGGTGAGAAGTTGCTCCAGCTGCTGCTGGAATTCCGGCAGCGGCGTCTGGGTGTTATCTGCCTTGCCTTCCTTTTCCTCGAAGTATGTATCCTGGAATCCTCTCAGACTGATGCCCAGGGGCGATGAGTCCTCAGGAAGCGGCTTCTTGAGGCTGAATGCGGCGTGAAGGAACGCCGCCGCCAGTGTGCATTCGACAACGCGCAGGTTGTAGCAAACTGGTGCGGTAACATGTTTGTCCGCAGCCACAAAAGATTGGGCAATCACGAAGGTAAGCTCGGGATCTGTGTGGGGGAAAGACACAGATCTCGTGGAAAGCTTAGGCTTGAAAGAGACGTAGAGGGCGCTCCCGCGCTGAGAGAAGACAGAGGCGGACTGGTCCATGCTACATTGGCCATTAGCGGTGTCCCATGCTGTAGACAGGGCTTACTTACCCGCCGGAGTTGACACCGACAGCGCGCTCCGAAACAATGGCCAGCTCGGTGAGCTCCGTTTGGTCGACCTTCTCCTCCCCGTTGGCCCGCATGACAGCAAGGGCACTAGCGCACACAAACGCGGCGCTGCTTGACAGGCCGCCACCGGCCGGGACAGTGCCGTCAAGCAGGATATCCATGCCCACCGATGCAAACTCGGTTTGCCCCTTCTTCTTCGCCAGGAGTTTAGCCGCGCCACGCAGGCCGGACTTGAAGTAATTTGTCCATTCATGCGCAGCTGCGTCGATCGGAACCTCTCCGTGGGCAGGGATCTCGAACTCTCGTGTGGGAAATTTATCCGGGTTGACGTTGGCGATGCGGACTTGGGCGCCCTCAGATGCGGGACGGACGGCGACAGCGATGAGGACGTCAGCAGTCACAGCCATGGGCAGGACCTCATAAAGCGAGTAGTCAATGTGCTACATCTGTCAGCGCATATGATCGATTGCCGGTGGAACAAGCACGGCTGGCTGGCACGTACCTCGCCAATGATGTTCACGCGGCCAGGACTGCGGGACACGAAATCGGCCTGTTTGCCGTAACGGTCCTTGAAGGAGGCCAGGAGATGCTCCCAGCGCTTCTGTTGGACGGAAACGGCATCGTCGGGGTAGATGTCCTTCAGCGAGCTTGCGGTTGGAACCTCCATGGTGACGGCGGGGGCGTGGTGCAACAGGGAAGCGGCGGGGGTGACGCAAGCATATAAGGGCGACGGAATCTGCGTGTGTGGAGGGCTGGGGCGCCGCGGGGCACAGGTTGTGGAGAGATTTGGGTGGAGCTAGGTCGTCAAAGCAATTGGGTGACATTCCATGGTTGCGGTGCTTCGCGAGCTGCTCACGGGCTCGCTTCCACGGCTGCCCCGCCTTGCCCCGCCGCCGAGTCGCCGCGCTCGCTGCCATCCCGCCCCAACGGCCTGTTCCGCCTCGCACCTAGGCGGCCGCACCAATCGCCAGGTGCCATGGTGCCATGGTGCTCTCTCACAGATCTGCGGCGCCCGTTGCGCAAACGAAAAGCTCCGCGCGCTCTGGGCGCTCTGGTCGAACTGGCCAACTGGCCGGCCGGCCGCCACCCACCTGCCGCATTGGGCCTCGGTTCAGCCACAATGCGAGCAGAAACCTCTGCCAATCGCATGATCACGGAGACGCTCCATCATGCACCCTCCGACTGGTGAGCATGGAGCCACGGCCTCGCATTGTGCACGGAAGACGGATCAATCTGGGATGTGTCGAGATGGACGGCGGGAATGGACCCACACGCTGCAGGCATATCCTGGGGCAGGGCACCTTCTAGAGCGCGCGCAACGGCTCCCTGCGTGTTCCTGCAGGCTGCATGGGCTTGCTACACGCTTGCAGCCGGATCGGTGGCAGAACGACCCAATCCAGCGCCAGCGATCGGCCGGCAGTGGCATGGTGTTGCTGATATATATCCAGCTACCCAATTCAGCCGGGGGACCAGCGCACCCGGATGCATGACGGCTGCGCCCTCAGGTCAGCCAGCGAAGCATGCTACAGGCCAGTCGATCTCTTAATTAATTATCGCATGCAAGGCCCGCTGCAGCAGGAACACGTGCTTCTGAGCCTGCAAATGATCGCAGGCCGGACCACGGGTCGGGAGGAGGGAGGCTGGCGACACGGCAGCGAGCATGCAACGGATCGCGGCGTCCATGCAAGCAATTCTCAACCCGGAAGCTTGGCCGTGCAACGGCCAGCGGGGCGGCCACGTGCGTGACGTCGGAGGCCCCAGAAGCTTGGTCAATCTTCAGATGTTTGCGCGCACTGTGCGCTGAAGGAAGCGGCGGTGCCACGGCCAGCAGCCTGGCGCCGAGGTTGCTGACATGGACGCTGACACCAAGGGGAACAGGCGAGGAACAGCACGTCTCATGACCTCTCGTGGTTCAGCCGCTACGAAAACCGGCCCCTCGGCCAGGCAGCGGCGGCAAATCAGACGGACTCATCACGGAGTGCAGGCAGCGGCGAACGCGTGTAGGTGGACGTGTGGGACGTGTGGGACGTGTGGGACGTGTGGGTCCGTCAGCCTTACAGGGAACCCAGGCTGCGGCTCAAGGATGGCTCCACGGCTCCAACATGGCTCCAGCATGGTTCCATGGGCGTCGGTTGGGCACTGGCGGCTGCGGCTGATGATATGTAGGTATACGCCTCGGGCGGTGAGCAGGCGTTGGCGGCGGCGGCGGCGGCGGCGGCTGCAGGCTGTCGGTAGTGGGCAGGCGGCGCGGAATCTGCGCGGAGTCTGCGCCGCGTGGCGCGCCGTGGCCGAGGCAAAGCTGGCATGAGCAGGCAGACACGGTGAGCATGACGGGCGGGCTCGGAGGCTGTGGCGTGGCATGCAGGCGACGCGGGTGATGCGGGCGATGCGGAGAGGACAGCGGTGAGCTGCAAGTCGGGCACAGCCTGCTGCACCACGCCCCATGCCCATCCTTCGTCGCTGTCTCCATCACGGACCCGCGACCCGCGCGCTTGGCCGCCCACGCCGCCCTCGATCGCCGCGCGCGGCCGGATGAGTCAGCCGGGCGGGCCAACGAGGAGATTGCCTATAAACTCTGCATTGGGCGAATCTGTTGACTTCTCCAATCCTTCGGACGTGCGACTGCCCTGCCCCCATCCGCCGTCGGAGGCTCTGTCCGCCAGCGCTGCCCCCCGTAGTGACTCTTAACATGTGCACTGCAGACCCGACTGGCGCACAAGGCTCCAGCGCTCTCCCAGCCGGCCGCGCAGCCGCATCCAGCTGAGCGGCGCGTCCGACGAGCTGGGCGGGGCGGATCCGGGCAACCTCGTTGTGCATGCGCGTGCTGCATCGCCGTGGTGGTGGCGAGCCCAGGACGAGGGCTCAACGCACGAGAAAATTGGCAGCCGCGACCTTGAGGTAAGATGCCCGATTGAGCACCGTGGTCTTCGCCCGCGCAACCCGTGGCCAGCTTGCAGGCCGCGACACCACGATCCTCTCCCTCCCCCCTCCCCCCCACCAAAGCCCTCCCAGCCTCCCGCGGCCGGTGCCCTTCTTAAGCACGCATGTCGCCCTGCTCGATGGGAAGCTCACTCGCCTCTAGCGCCCGCCGCACCATGGACACCCTCTCGCACAGCCCGCGCGCCCTGCGCCTGCTCCATCAGTCCACTCCCGCCTTGATCGCCCTATGCTTCTGCGTCGGCGTCACTCTCGAAGTCGCCTTCCGCCTCCCTCCCAAGCCGAGGCCAGCTCAGAAGTCATGGCGGACGGCTGCCGTCTACCTCTCGTGGCTCCTCATCTTCACCTATGCGAGCGAGCTCGCGCTCTTCGTGACTCGATCCCTCGTCGACCGCGGCTGGTGGGCCGCACAGGACAGCGTCGTATTCGTCGTGGCCTCTATCCTGCTCTGGGGCATCACCACCTTGATTCTAGCCGACTCGGAGTCTCCCCGGTGGACGCCTTACGTCGCTTCTTGGATCCTCGGCCTGACCCTGGAGATTGCCATGTGCGCGCTTTCCGTCTCCACCTACCCTGACCCCGATCGCTTTTCCGGCGCTCAATGGGCTGTTATGATTGCGCGCTTGGCCGTCTTTGCCCTACTGGCTCTTGTCGGCGTCGCCTTCTTGTTGCCTCCAAAGGAGGAGAAAGAACAGGGTCCCGACGAAGAACGTCAGTCGCTACTCACTGCCGCTTCGGCCGAGACCCAGCCCAGCACAACATACGGATCTATTGCAGAGGATGCGAAAGAAGCTGGGCCCGAGAGCGAGGATGACGAGAAAGAAGTCAAAGAGCGCCAGCGCCAGCGCCTTCTGGACGCCGGTGGCTGGTGGGCTTACCTCAAGAGCTTCTTCATTCTCTTTCCTATCATTTGGCCCTCGCGAAACCGCAAGATCCAATTCTACCTGCTCGTCATGGTTCTCTGCACGCTAACCGAACGAGTTTTCAACGTTCTCATCCCACGCCAAGTGGGTATCATAACCAACCAGCTAGCAGAAGACTGGGACACTGGGCGAATTCCCCTCCGAGCAATCCTCATCTGGATTGGCCTGCAGTTACTGAACTCCAGAGTCGGCATCGACAGCATCTTTTCGATGCTCTCAACGGTAGTGGAGCAATTTTCCTCGGCACAACTCACCAAAGCTGCTTTCAAACACGTAATGGGCCTTTCGATGAATTTCCACACGGAAAAAAACTCGGGAGAGCTGTTGAAGGCTGTTGAGCAGGGTCACTCGATCACAGCCATTTTGGAATACATTTTCTTCGAAACCATTCCTCTCATCATGGATCTGGTCGCCGCTTTTGTCTACCTTTCCAATCTTTTCGACGAGTATCTGGCCCTGACTGTGGTGGCTCTCGCCGTTACCTACCTGTACTCCACAATACGACTCACCGCCTACAACAGAGAACGACGCAGAGTCTTCATTGACAAGTACATGAAGGAGAACTCGATCATGTACGAATCGGTGAGCAATTGGCAAACAGTGGCATACTTCAATCGTGGAGCCTATGAGCAGACGCGGCTCAACGATGCTGTACATGAACACAGTGATTCGTTCGTCAAGTACAGCTTCACGTACAATCTGATCTTCGCGACTCAGGCCTTGATCACCTCCTCAGGTCTTCTGGCTGCCAGTCTTATTGCGGCATATCGCATTTCCCAGGGTACTGCTAGCGTTGGAAGCTTCGTCACTCTCGTGCAATACTGGGGAACATTGTCTTACCCGCTCTCGAACCTCGCCCATTCATATAGCCGACTTTCATCTGATCTTATCGATGCCGAACGGATGCTTCAGCTCTTCCTCACCAAAACCAGCATCGTCGAAAGACCCAACGCTCCGGATCTCAAGGTAGAAGGAGGCCACGTCGAGTATGACGAGGTCGGCTTTGCTTACGACCCACGCAAACCAACTCTGGATACGATCAGTTTCGAGGCCAAACCCGGCCAGACCATAGCACTTGTCGGCGAGACGGGAAGTGGCAAATCCACAGTCTTGAAGCTTCTTCTTCGGTTCTATGACGTGACAAGCGGCAGTATCAGGATTGACGGACAGGATCTCCGCGATGTCACGCTTGACAGCTTGCGCGAGGTGGTTGGCGTCGTCCCACAAGACCCGTCAATGTTCAACATGTCCATCATGGAGAACATCCGCTATGCGCGTCTGGATGCTTCCGACGAGGAGGTGCATGCAGCTTGCCGCGCTGCTGCCGTGCATGACAAGATTGTAAGCTTCCCGGATGGGTACAAATCCAAGGTTGGCGAGCGTGGCGTCAAGCTCTCTGGAGGAGAGTTGCAGCGTGTCGCCATTGCTCGCGTCCTTCTAAAGAACCCTCAGCTGGTCCTTCTCGATGAAGCAACTTCGGCTGTGGATTCAGCTACAGAGATACAGATCCAAGAAGCTTTCCGAAAGCTCAGCAAGGGCCGGACGACATTCGTGGTTGCCCATCGTCTTTCCACCATCATGGATGCAGACTTGATCCTTGTTCTCGAAAACGGCAAGATAATAGAGCGCGGAACTCAGGAAGAGCTATTGCAACTTGGCGGAAAATACGTGGATTTGTGGACGAAGCAGACTTCGAGACGGACAGAGAGTACCGCGAAAAACTCGATAGGCAGCTCGGACTCTTTGATCGATGATGTTCATCAAGACCTGACTGGCACGGTCAGTCTACTTGAGCAGTTGGATGGCCAAAGCGATGAAACAGACGACGGATGCTGCAGCAATCTGCGTGCTAAGCTGGCAACGAAACTCAAGATGAGCAGCGTCAGCGCCAGGGACGATGCGACAGACGAGCCAGAGGAAAGATCCCTTGGGGAGATAAACATGGTCTCTCCAAGACCAACGTTCTGCGAGGATGATGGAAGAGCCGGTTTGCCGAACAACCTGAAGGAGCAACACACCGAGGACAACGGACGAGATCCAGTCGGAAGCAGGGATGAGTGTGATAGTCAGGCCGAGTCAGGAACGGCGTATACTTCTGGCGACGAGGAGCAACACAGTGGTGGGTACAAAAAGAAATGAGGACCGACCGCCTGTCCTCTTTCGTTCATAAGGACATGTCAGCGTCCGGACACCCGTCACCTGGCCGATCTTCATGCTTCCGTTTCGATACCCTATCAGCCCCGGCCAAGCATTCTTACACCCTAACGAGACACGATCGTACCGACTCCTTATGAGGTCTCCGGCATTTCTACAACATCTTCCCCAAACACCTACACATGTTCCACGATGGGCAGAAGGCGCCTGAACATGTCCCCGGGATCACGGTTCCTGTATCTCCTAATTACGAACCCTCATACTCTTTTCCGGCACTTAATCAGGCGCAGGTGGCATAATTGTTACATCAGAGTCATCCCACAACATTTCGGGTCATAGATTCTTCTGGTCGATGACAGGCGCAGGCGGCAATCGTGATTGTTCTCAAAGATACTCTCGGTTCGGTTTGGTTTTTGTTTTTGGCATTGTTCCCTTTCTGGATACCTCGATGCATTTATGTTTATACTCGTGATCGAGCGATGCTCTGATTTTGTTTTTCGGCTACGAGTTGTGTCATACTAACATTCCTACTAAAAATATCATTTCACCCACGCAGCTCCGCTGCTCGGGTCATTTTAACATTTCTGGCTACCTACGGGGTGGAACATTTATTCGTGCGTCTCGAAGTCCTGTTCTGTCCGCCAGTTTTACCTGCTTGCTTGGTGATTTGTTCTGTGCAGTACGTCATGACACTCACCACCTCTTCTTGGTTTATCGACATATCCATGCCGAGCCCTTTTTTCTTTTTGGGTCAATGTCTACCCATCTATCAGCTCTGCGTACCGACATAGAGGAGTTGTTGTTGACAATGCAGAGAGGGGTACCACAGTGTGCATGTTGTATTGAGCGGCAGCAAGCACGCGAATGGGGCATTGCCATAAAGATAGGACCGGTATGCAATAGCAATGATGCTTGGAATCAATTGGATCAATACAAATGTAACCGTAGCCAATCTCGTTCGATACGGGTCATTGCAGAGGTCAGCCGCATGTCTGGCTCGAATCATCTGAGCAGAATCTATGCAGTTTGTCCTCTGCCAGCCACAGAAGAGTTAAGGGTTGCTGCGGCCAACTGTGCAATTGGAAGTCACGTCGGCACCCTTTCAGTTCTTTCAAGCTCTTTCCACTACAGTTTCATTGTTGTATCTATATCCCTATCCACTGCTGTCTCCATCTCAATTTGGCGACTTTTGTCGTTGCCACTCTTCCATCCTGGAAAAAAAGTCCAACAGGTACCCCGCAATTACCGATAGTTTGACCGGTTTCCCTTTTCATCACTTCGATTGAATGATATGAGATTCGTAAAGGACAGGCTTTGCCTCATTTCGAGCAAAAGAGTGATCTTCCCGATCCCAACCAATGATAAACTCCCTTGGAAAGCTTGATCCGGTTGGGGGAAAGTCAATGCATGGAGAAAATGACAATGAGAATGAACCCGCTAAAGTATCGAACCAGAGCAATGAAGATGCGGGCTAGAGATTTCGCAAGGAAGACCAATTCAAGCCGTACATTAAAGGTGAACCCACCAACTTTTTTTCTTGTCCAAAAACGCTGGATATAGCAAAACGTTACCAAGGTAATGATTGCCGTACACCAGTATTGAAGGACTTGAAAGCGGTGACCCAAGTGTGCGGCGTTATTGGTCAAAGGCAATTGAAACCTCTCCCTTAGCACAAGAAGAAGAAAGGTTGAAGAGGATAAAACCGAAGAGATAGAGGAGGCAAGGGGTATTAAGGAGATCCGTAAAGCAGCCGAGATGAACACCAATGTAGTGCCATGCCGTGCAAAGGAAAGAACCGAAAAAGGCGATTCCGTCTTAAGGACAAGCTCGTCTAAAGGCGGGAAACTTGGTCGAAAGAATAGCGTGAGGTAAGGCGAACCCACGTGCCGGCGACGCTACGCGTGGCCATCGTGTTTAAAAACATCTCATCCGTACGACCGACTGAGTTCAGATTTTCTTGCTGATGCTCAATCTGGGCAACAGAATCTCTAAACTGTGCCACCAAGGCGTGACGTCAAGTTGCTCTGGAACTCGTTGGAGCGTAATTGTGCCTTGGAATGGTTTCCTGTGCAAAGCTTGTGGAGAGATGACGATACGCTTAAACTCTTCCAGGCTGGTTCCCGCTCTTCCTCATCATCTAGAGCTTAACCGGTAGTGGGCGTTGAAGCACGTGCTGAGCTCCTCGTCCTCTTCACACTTGCAGCTTCAAGCGAGTCGCCTTCTCTCTTCGTTCCCGACACCGATCGAGCTCCCACCTTGGTACGGCGCCATTGGTCGAAGGGGCTGCGCTTGGCTGGCCTTGCCATCGGTGCGAATACGGGCTTCGGCTCCTGATCACCGTTCTGTGTAGGGCCAGATGGATCGGCCTCAACATCGACAGGGCCCTCGGGTAAATCAAAGTTCACATCCCTCTTCGCTGACGCGCGGGTAGTCCGAGATGGCGGGGGCGTAAAGGGTTCGAAGAAGCGTTGCGTATCGGGCGTACTGGTGTTTGCAGCTGTCTTGGCTGTGCTCTCTGAGGCAGGCTCAGGCGTGACTTCCCTCGCCTCAGCAGGGACAGAACGCGGGGCACGAGCCTTGTGGGCATGCTTGCGGGGGGTGGCAAGTAGAACGGAGGCATCGACGTCAGTAGAATCTTCTTCCGCAGCTTTAGCAGCGGCAGTCTCGCGAGCACGCTTCTGCTCCTCGGTCGGGAAGAGAAGACGCGGCTGGATAGAAGAACGGGTCACGCGACGGTGGGCCGTCGAGCTAACAGCGCGCGAACTAGCAGCACGCGAGCGAACAGCGCGGCGAGTAGGGGTGCCGACTAGACCATCAGAGTCTGAACCGCTGTCATCAGAGCTCTCCTTGAACTCGGTGAAAATCTTCTTCCCGCGGCTGCAAATCATTAGCTCCGACTTTCGTAAAGGTAGGCGATATGACTTACAAAACTGAAACAAATCCTTCGCCGTTCCGGGCCCTGCGGTCCATATCTTCATCCTCCTTGGACAGGTGGCGCTTGGCAGCGCGAGGAGAGACGCTCGGACCCGCGAAGGGTGCATCGTTCTCATCGGGCTTCTTGGTGACGAACGGGTTGTCCTCCTCGTCATTCAAGCTTGGAACGCGCTCGCGGAAGTCAGTGTAGATCTCGATCCTCTCGTGCGCACCATCGTCACACTCGTCCATGAAGCTGGGCAGAGTGAAGGTGGTGTGCTTCTTGTTCTTGCGGTTCTTGCGAGGAGAAGGCATGGCGTCATCGATGTTGGCGGGGCGATCATGAAAGAGGATGCGAGCAGTCTGTGCAAACGCAGACAAAGGCCTCGCCTTATCCTTCTTGCTAGGAGTCTTCGAGGGAGTCGGGAGAACGCCAGCCAAAGAATCCCTGGAGCTAGTGACGAATGGGTCCGAATCGGTATCGGAGTTCGGAAGCTGGTCATCGAACATGACTCTGTTGATGGCTTTCTTGGCACTAGGACGCTTCTGAGGCGATGATGAAGGCGAGGCCGGTGGCGAGGCTGCGAAGCCAGAGGTAGGCGCCAGCATGTCGCCGCTTCCGATCGGGGTGAAGGCGCGAGCGGATCGGGGGGCGGGGCGCTTCTTGGAAACCTCCAGGCCTTGCGGCGGCACCTGGCTGATGGCGTGCCTCGAACGCTGGGCAGCGACGCGACTGGAGCGACGGGGCGGCGAGTAGGGCTCCCAGTCGTCATGGCGAGATCCAAGGTAGGGCGCAGGGGGAGTGTGGATGCGCTCCGGCGGCGGAGGCGTGGAAGCCATGATGATGGTCGGATAGCAATGGTGGTGCAGGGGAGTGGGTTGGCGGGCGGGCGGGATCTAGACGAATGCGGCGACGCGCAGCGGGTGCGCGATGGACGTGGTGGGTGAGAACAGAGCAGGCGCTCGGCGGGCGACAGGCAATTGGGCGGGCGCCCGGGGTTCTTGTGCGATCGAGCGGGTGCGCGGGCCAGGGCGAGGTCGAAGGCGATGGTGTTGCGGCAAGGGCGGGCGGTGGTGGTGAAGTGAGGAAGGAGGTGCCAGGGCTGAGGTCGGCGGCTTGTCGCTTGTCGCCGGGACTGCGCGAACAAAGTGGCTGGGCGGTGCGCGTGAGGCTGGACGCGCCAATTTGGGCGCGGTGGGCGCGCCAAGCCCGCGCACGGACGGTCCCCACGCGTACGTGTAAGCGGAAAACAGTCAACAACGCGACAGACAGGCACATCGCCAGCACCGCCCGGCCCAGCCGACGACGAACAGCACACACTGCAGCACGCACAGCCCGCCCCGCGTCACCCGTCTCCACCCCATTGCCCCTGATGGCGTCCCCTTCTGCCGACGACCTGCAGCTCTCCGATCCCGAGATCGATTTCGACTCGCCTGCCCCCGCAAGGCACCCTCCGCGCGCCGAGTCGCGCTACACATCCGACGAGGCTCGCGATGAGGCTCTGCGCCGCGAGCTGGACCAGGTGCGGGGCGTGAACAAGGTCATTGAGGGCGTCATTGAGAGCCTGGAGAAGGCCAAAAGCAACATGCAGGCCAGTTCTCATCCGTATGCTGCCCAATTGCCCGTGTCTGCTAACACTTCCGCCTTGCAGACCGTCGACCACACCGTCAATTCCGCTTCCACGCTCTTGCAGACGTGGACACGGATCCTCTCCGCAACCGAGCACAACCAACGTCTCATTCTCGATCCCAATTGGCAAGGTGCCACCCAAGATCTGGCCGAGATTGAGGCAGACACAATTGCCCAGCGGCAGGCGATTGAGCGCCGTGAGCGCGAGGAGCAGGCACGCCGTGAAGCAGCTGCTCGCAGGGCTGAGGATGATGTGCGCAAGAGGGCCGAGGCCTCCAGCCGGCCGAGCAGCGCAGCGAGCACGAGGGGCCGGAGGGGCGGATTGCGGGGAAGAGGATCGGCCAGTTCCACCAATACTGGTCGGACCACCCCCGGGGGCTATGTCGGTGTTGGTGGGCAGAGGGGTGTAGGCAGAGGGCCCGCCGGCGGAAGGACTGCAAGCGGTATCGGCCGGGGCGGTATGAGAGGAAGAGGACGCGGTTGAGCATGCTCGAGAGCAAGAATCGAGCACGACTTACGGCATGGATTGGCGACATGATACCCAGGGGATTATGCTTCCTCGCAAATAGAACACTTCTTTACACAAGCGGCAATGGCTTTTCGATTCAACGTGACTACTGCCACGAAAACAATGTGTGCGTTGCCCAGTTGGATCAGGCGCTGTGCGGGAAGCCATGGTATTCAAATTTGCTCGCACCTGCGTCATACCCCAGATCGATCTACAAGGTTTCCACCACGATGCCAGATAAGTGTCTGTGCCCCAAACACGCCATGGGCTCGCCGTGTTCTCTGCAGCGTCAAACGTCTACGAGGAATCTTTCGGAACAGGGTTATCGTCTCGGTGGGGCTGGTTGCAAAAGGGCATGCGCGTGCTTTGACTTGGCGGCCGAGGAATCGGAATGCTTGTTGTTGGGCCCTGGTCTGCAGCCTTCTTCCCACAAATTTATTTGTCTTGGACGTCTCGATGAGCTGGAGCATTCGCTTGCTCCGTGTTCGCTCCTTCCCGCCCGCGCCCCGTCCCGCCTCGTTTCCCAACGAACGGACCAAACCCCTGCAAGTGGGTGGTGGCTGCAACGATCCCCGTGCGTTGCGGTCCATGTCATTCCTCAACCACGTCATGATCTTGCTATTCCCAGCATTCCCACTGCCCTTCCGGCCCAACCGCAATTGCTTTGTAGTACATTGGTGTCTATGAATGAGAGTATATATACTGCGTGGGGTTTCAGTGGCATTGTTCAGTCATTTATCCTAAGTTTCTGTCTCCGCCAAAGCCAGTCGTCATAAAAGGCCCGGGGTCATCCCCGCTCGACCCCTACCGCTGCTAGAGAACGATATACATGGGAAAAGTGTCGCCAGGACGCTTCCAGGGAAATAAATGGCCACGCCGATGATGTGTGCTCTTTGGGTCAAAGCTCAAGGCTGAGTGTTATCCCACAGGCTTCCCACCGTCACGCCATCTACCCACGCACCGCCCGTGTCATCCTTCTGCACGGTATACCCGACTTCCTTGCTCTCTCCGGGAAGCAGCCAGAATGCGTTCTCGTCGAAGAACACCACCGCCTCTGCAGGATAATCCAGCCAGACCCAGGCTGCCACACCTGTCTCGGCTGTGACGATGAACGTCCCGCTGCCCGCATCTCCCGAATGGGTGACAGACAAACCTGGATCGACCAGATTGGCCTCAGCCAGAGTGCTCGCGTGCCACCAATTGCGATGCGTGAACGTCTGCGTTGTGTTGGTGTTCGGCAATGACCCTTCAACTGTGACGTCGAGCACGAGCAGCGCGTCAGCAGGATCGATCCCGGAGAGGATGTCGTTCGTGTTAGTGCTGAGGAGGCGAGTGGTGTTTATAGCTCCTATTTCCACAGCCGCCGAAGTCGACGTGCTGATGTTGAGGGGCTCGCCTGCATAATTGATCCAAGTGAAGTTCGCGGTGCCAATGGCTGATGTCCAGAGATCCGAAGTAGCATAGACCTCAAGGTCGCCAGTCGTGATGTTCCAAAATGGCGTAATGATGACATTTTGATAGATGTCTTTGGCGACGTAATGGAGCACCTTCCAGCGCCCATCATACTCAATGCCCGCCCACGTCGGTGCTTGCCAGATATCTTCTAGCTGCCAATACAGAGATCCAAGCTGACGCTCCGGCATGCCACTTCCACGGCGATAGAACATGATCTGGCTTTTGTAAAAGTCTGCCTGGAAAATCTGTGTCGTATGGCACCACGCAGAGAAGTTGGCGATGGAATCTTCCTTGTTGGGGACTGGGTACCATCTCTGTGCTGCTACAGTCATCTCACCCATACCCTTGGTGGTATTCGCGAAGTTGGTGGTGTTCAGTCCGCCAGGTGGGTAATGGTGGTTTCGGAGCTGAATCACAGTTGAGTTAAACCAGAGGTCCTCTTCGTCGATAGCTTGACGCCATGTCTGAAGAGATGGCATTGAATGATAGCCAAACTCATTGGAGAAGCGACCAACAGGATAGGAACTATAATTGAAAGCGAGAGCGGAATTGTAGTTGTAGTAGTCGGTATCTCCGTAGATGCTGCCTTCAGTCGTGTTCTCGTACCTCTCGATCATCGGCCTCGGGGCGCTGTGGTTGAGGTACAGCCAGCCATTGGTGGTAGACGACGGCGCGTAAGAGATGCTTCTACTATTGCCAAACACAACAGGAACGAGCGTGTCGAGGAAGAGCGTCTCGTACTCAGCCAATAAGCGTGGGTAATCCTCAGGAGACGCCTCTTCAGCAGTTGGGAGCTCCAAGTTCTCCAACTCATTGCCACCGGCCCACATGGCCAGGGAAGGGTGGTGATTTACGCGTCGAACCTGGTACGTGAACTCGGCACGCACATTATCGAGGAACTCTTCATTGACCGGATAGAGCGCGTCCCCAAACTCACTCTCTGACCAGAGTAGAATGCCCATTTCATCAGCGAGATCGAACATGAAGTCCGGTGAGTAAGCTCCAGAAGACCATACTCGCAGCATGTTCTGATTGCCCATCACAACGGCCTGGAAGAGCTGTTTAATACGCTCTTCTGTAACGCGGACCCAGAAAGCGTCCGGCGGGATAAAGTTGGAGCCCTTTGCGTAGAATTCATGGCCGTTGACTTCAAAGTGCCAATTGTTTCCCGGAGCAATCCCCTTGGCCAGCTGTTCGTCTGATATTGGTGATTCGTTCAAAACAATGGTTCTGAATCCAGTCCGTTTGTGGACTGTTGCAAGGGAGGAGTTCGTAGCATCACTGACAAAGATGTCAAGACTATAGAGCGTCTGAGCGCCAAGCCCAGCTGGCCACCAAAGCTCGACCCTGTCGGAGGGAATCACGGTAGTTCCAGTGATGACACCATCGCCGGTTGTGATGTTTTGCAAAGCACCGGAGGTTACGGTGGTGTTCTCCGCATCTCGAAGCCTAAAGCTTAGACCGGCGTCGGGCGGAAGTTGACCAAGAAAATCGACGCTTGCATTCAGTACCCATGGCTGGGACTGGTCAGGTGGCAAATTGTTCAGCTGGCCCAATCGGTAAATGTCAACCAATGTGTTTCGTACGTGGATATCGTGCGGGCCAAGTTCGACGACAAAGGCAGGCTGCCATGGACCGGCTGGGGCGAAGGCAGGGCCCTAGAGGAGTCAGCGGACTGGCGTACGACCCGAGGCGAGGGGATTTTTACCCAATCCCAACCAAAGTCGCTTTGCTCCTTTCGGACGAAGTGTCGGTTCGGGAACTCAAAAAGGCCTTGGACGCCAAAGGGCCAAGTCTCTTGCCCCGGCTCAGCGGCTATTTCATCCGCAATTGTCGGGGCGCTTCCAAAATTGATGCTAAGCACTGGGGCCGTTGGGCAATTTTTCACAATGTCGGTGACTTCGAAATAGTACTGACGGAACTGGTTGTTGGTAGCTGCCACGTGCTCTCCACAGAGCTCAATGCTGGTAAAGGTGTCAAGACCATCGAACCGCAGAAAAGTCGACGAGGCACTGGAGTTTCTGTATCGGACATTAGCGCACTCACGGTTCTAGTAATCCATCCTTCACTACGGAAACGACCAGCTCCCGTTCGTGGCGAGAGGGGTCGATTTGTCGCAGCTTCAAGGACGCAAATTACTAGAGATGAAAGAAAAAAAACTAATTTGTTTGAGTCTTGATTGGGGCAAGGACTTGCAACCCAAAAGCGTGGAGGTGCATGGAGGGTGGGCAGATATGATGGAACAGAAATTGTTGGCGTCGATGACGTAACCGACGACTCCACGACTGAGCGACAATGTCGATAACATAAGAGGCTCGAAGCCAGACGTCTTTGGCGGGTGGTATCCATGGCGCCTGGGGGTCTCAATTGCAAGAATTGGCCCATGGCAAGATCCAATGGCTGGCCTGAGGGCAGCGGCGGCCGCGCTGGAGCGTGTGCAGAAGGCCAGCAATGCGCCGACAACGAGAAGAAAGGAAATTGACTGCAGGGGTTTACGAAGCAGCTGAAACCTACAGTAGAGATGTAAGGGGAGGTGACGTGTAAGTCCAGTTGGCCCAAGCAACCCAGCGCAGATTGAAGTCGTTGAGTGCGTAGTACGGGTCCCCGATGACTTGGGCGGCAAACAGATCAAGATGAGCCTGCGACGGCAGCTGGGCAGGGACGGACACGTTCAGCGAGGGGTTGGATAGCGTCCAGCCGGGGCCAGACAGATTGACGACGCGCTGGGCAGCCACCGACACGGCGGCAGCCGTGCTCAGGACGGCCTGCAGATCCCAGCGAGGCATGATGGGCATGATGGACTCGACAAGCGCGGCGGACGGGGCGGCGCTCCACACGAGAGCTGCAGCGGCGGCCAGGACGGCCAGGACGGCCAGGACGGCCGCCAAGAGAGGCTTTATAACCAGGCGCGGCGCGGGACGGCGGCGGCGCATGTTGGGGTGATGCAATGGGGAGTAGCACAATGGCACAGTCGCATCGCAGGAACCAGGCCGGGGCGGCCGGGGGGTGCGCGGGCGGAACGACGGCTGCGACGGGAGGCGGCAATCATGCATGTTTCGGGGCATGACAGACGGGAGGGCAGGGCGGGAGCTACTTAAAATCGCCGGACGCCTCCGCGCCTGCGCGCACAGGCGGGGGCCGGGGCGTGGGAGCGTGGGGCTGGCAACTGGCAACTGGGGAGGAGGAAGGCGCGAGCGTCGCACGTGACGGGGCGACAGCAGCCAGCAGCCAGCAGCCAGCTCCCGGCAGCCGTCCATCTCGGAACCCACCCTTAGACTTCACCGGCGACGACTGCTCTCCGATGTCCCCGTCCGATCCGCACCATGGCCGAGCCCGAGTCCAGCGCTGAGTCGCGCAAGCGCCGCCGCAGCCAGCGCAGCAATCGGCCCTGCGACCCGTGCCGCCGCCGCAAGACCCGCTGCATTGTCGAGTCGGGCTCCGCAGGCGAGTGCACCGTGTGCCTGTACAGACAGACCAAGTGCACCTACGAGGAGTCTCCTCCCGAGCGTCCGCTGCCCCGTCGCCCCTCCAGCACCGCCGCCTCGACCTCGACCGCCGACGCCTCCTCCCGCCATCCGCCCTCCAGCGAGGTCGCCCACCTGTCGCCTGCATCCGGCGACATCCCGAGGTCTGTTCCTAGCTTGCCGCAGCTCCCCACCGTCCGCACCAACGAAGAGCTGCCCTCGGACGTGCTGAGCTCTGGCGAAGCTTCTGCCGCTGCCCTCGAGGCCGCCCGCGAGCGCCAGCGCAATGGCGAGACCGTCACCGACGCCGAGCGCGCCAAAGGGGAGTCGTCACTGGGCCTGCACTCGACGCGTTTTGCCGAGCTGTACGGCTTGGGGAGTGACATGGAGCCAATCCTGATGGTCCGTCCTCCCCATTCCGTGAGACCCCGATTGTTGCTGAATCTGACTGCAGCGGCACCGCCCCTACGACCCGGTCCATCACGAGTTCCGCCTTTCCACCCATGCCATCCGCCGCGTCCTCGAGCGGGACCAAGGCGTAGAGTATCCGCTCTGTTTCCATATCGTGTGTCCATCGGGCCGCCACCCGAGCCACTTGACTGATCCAGTTGCAGGTCAGCGACGAGAAGGCTGCCGGCTATTCCGCCACCCACCAGGAAGTAGATGCCATCGAGGCATGCGTCAAGCCCTTTGGCGAGCGCCTTGTCCGTCTGTTCTGGCGTGTTGTCCAGCCATCCTATCCCATCCTGCACAAACAGGGCTTTATGGATCGGTACTCAAAATCCTACCGCCTCGTCCCCGGCCCCCTCTTGGGCGCCATCTATCTGAATGCAATCAATTGGTGGCACTTTGACCCCTTGCTCTCGACCCACCCTCCGCCAGATTTGTCAGCCATGAGGCGGCTTACCTTGCACGCCATTCAAAATTCCTACCATCGCCCGCGATTGTCTTCAATAGAGTCTATTCTCCTGCTCTTGCAGTGCAAGCCCGAGGACCCCTTAAATCCCGACCATACTTTCGGCTGGGGGCTGGCCTCTCAGGCGCTAGCAATCGGAGAGGCTTGCGGTCTCCACCTGGACGCCTCTCGCTGGGCTATTCCGGACTGGGAGCGCGCACTACGCAAACGCCTCAGCTGGGCCTTATTCATGCAAGACAAATGGACAGCCTGCGCTTATGGTCGCCCTAGCCACATCACTGATGATGAGTGGGGCGTGAAAGATCTTGATCCAGCCGATTTCGCCGACTGTGAGGCAGACCCGGATGATCCAGCCGGAGCCGCCGTTCAAGCTGGTCGAGAGCAGTTCCTGCATATGGTACGGCTATCAAAGATCCTCGATGTTGTCTTGAAAAAATTCTACTCTGTCAAAGGCTGCGTCAATCAAGACACAGTCAACCTGTACACGAAAGCACAGCCCATTATAGAATCGCTGGCCACTTGGTACACGTCCATACCGCGCTCTTTACACATGGACTCTTTGCCTCCACGACAGCTTTGTCCAAATGGTAAGTCTGTTTCCTCTGTGGGTTTTCGTGAAATGGACGACCACTTCCAGAAATACCTCTGCATAACTACAGAAGGTTAGCAAACCGCCAGAAGCCCCCAAGCAACTACACAGACGCCTGTTTCAAGCAGCTGGATTATCTCTACCTTACCTGGTATTACCACGGTATCTGTAGGCTGGATAGTCTGGCCGGGTCCACGCCTCTCCAAACGTCCATCGATGTTTTCCACTTGAGGTCAACCGCCTCCCCAATACTGATTGTTTACAGGACACCTGCACCTTGCATATTTTGGCGTTACGACTCTACTGCTGCGCCGACTCGTTAGGTCGACGGCACTTGCCCCTCTATGCTTGGACATACAAGTGCTGAACGCCATCCGTCAATACGCTTACGACACCGCAATGAAGGCCACTGCTTTGGTTGCCTTGCTTCGTCCGGAGCATTTGGACGCTTTTTGGTATTTTGGTACGCTCAGGGCATCTCATTGCGGACGAGAGTCTTGTCCATGGGCTGACTTGTATAACGTTTAGTTTCGCCCTACCTTTTTTCTGTTATTGGATCCTTTACCACCCTCTTACTAGTGACCTCACTCACACCCTCGGAGCGGGATCACTGGCGTGAGACACTCAATTCGTACATTTGGACTCTCCGTACTATGAGTAAATCCAATGAGCCCATCAGATATGCTGTCAACCGACTCGAAGGAGCAATCTTGCGTGGGCTCGAGCATGCTCTGGTTATCGCCGTGGACGGACCGTCGACTGAGATGGCCGAGACCCCTCAGCAAACCTTCGAGGCGGGCGTCAACGGGTTTGGTTTTGGAGTCGCTGAAATCAATGACTGGGATTACCAAGGCCAAATGCACTTGGGTGCCTTTGATTATTTGAGTAACAATCCACCTGCTGCGCAGATGCAGTAACAAACATTTAGACATCATTTAGCGGACCACTGACGACCAAGGGAATGTTCGCGGGATGAGGAGCTAGGCATGTGGCCTCCAATGAGTTTCCACGTCGTTTGAAGCACATGCGCGGTGCTCTCTTATAACGGCCTCCCCTTCGAGCACCCATTGCGTAGTTCTTTGGTCGCTGCAAGGTGTTTTCGGTGTCTGTCTTTAGCCACGCTTGTTTGGGGCCAGCTATTTACGAACGTTCCAAAAGGCGCAAGGAAACACATGTCAACTTTATGGCACCATCTTCTACAAAGATACCCAGCTCTTTAGTTTCTTGTCTCGCACTCTCTAATGTACCATTTGTTTCATCGTTCGACTTTGCATGCAGTTCACCAGTTTCGGACGGAGAGCGCTTCGGGAGGCGATAGCTTATCGACCTGCCGCCGACAAACACTTCCAGGACGTTGGCTTGTACAGCGACAACGACGGATCCGTCGATCTTGATGTTGTTGTGGCGAGCGATCTCAGGACCGTCGACTTCTCTGGGGAGGTACTGCTTGTACTGGTCGGCCCAGAAGTCATCAAGGGGTGGATCGTCGGACAGCAAAACGACGTCGAACCGATCTGGCGCCGTCGGGTCAAAACGCAAACGGTGCCCCTTCATGTCCTCGTCGGCCCGAAGCAGAAGTCCAAAGGAGGCGGCGTCGTGGGCGGAGATGTTGAACTGGAAAAGATAGTCGATCGGGTCGGTTCCGTGGCGGACCGGCAGGAAGTGTGCCGACATTTGGCCCTCAGAGGCGAGTTCCAGCACCGGCGGCAACCCGCCGGCGTCGCCGGCGTCCAGCGCGGCAGCCTTCTCGAAGGCGGCTTCGAGAGCCTCGCGGCTCGGCTCGAGCCTGAGGGTGCCGTCGTCGTTGGCGGACACCTCCCGGGGCGTGCCCATGTCGCCCCCCCACAGCCACTTGCCGTCGCCGTGGTAGCGATCGGCGACCCAGCCGAAGTAGATGCGCTTGGACGGATCGCCGGCCTTGGGACACGACTTGGCGGCGTACCAGCGCCGGGCGTCGAGCCTGCCGCCCGAGGCGGCCCGGGGCGTCCGGAACGGACCGCGGGGAGACGGGCCGACCTTGTACACGGTGCCGGCGTTGGGCGACGAGAAGCGCGAGTAGACCAGGTACCAGTTGCCGTTGGGCAGGGAGAAGAGCTCCGGACATTCAGGGCAGAAGAGGTCGTTGGGGGCGTAGAGGGGCTGGGGCTCGGCGGTCCAGTGGTCGAGCGAGGGGTCCGCGGACGTGAGGAGGGCGATGCAGCCGCGCGTCCAGTAGGGCCCGGCGGCGAGGCGGGTGGCGACGAGCATCCAGTAGCGGTTCTCGGCGGGGTTGAAGAAGACGTACGGGTCCCGGAAGTCGATGTCTTCGAACAGAGGGCGGCCCTCGTGCGCGGGGGGCGAGGCGATGGTGATGGGGGCGAGGGGCTGGGCGAAGGCGGAGCCGTGCTTGTCCGGGGAGGTGGCGTGGAGGATGACCTGCTTGCCGCCGGCGGAGAGGTTGTAGCCGGTGTAGAAGATGTGCATGTTGCCGTCGGGCGCCTGGACGGCGGAGCCGGTCCAGGCGCCGTCGGCGTCGGGGGCATCAGGCGTCTTGCCGGGGCGGAGGGCCGGGGCGTCGTCACGGGCCCAATGCAGCAGGTCCTTGGAGCGGAGGTGGTGCCATGAGGAGCGGAGCCGGGGAGGGTGGTGGATGGTGTTGTGAGGGGTGGCTAGGTGGAAGAGGTGGTAGGTGTCGTCGACCAGCACGGGGATGGCATCGGCGGCGGCCTGGGTGTCGGAGGGCCTGCTGTAGCGAGAGGCTTGCTGCTCGGCGAGTGCAATGAGAGAAGGCATGGCTCGCGTGCTCGCTTGCTCTGGAGAGAAGAAGAGGCTTCCCGGCGGAGAGTTGGCCAGCTGCCGGCTGCATCGCGCAGTAGGTGGTTTTGGGCGTTAGTGATATAAGCCGCGCGAGTCAAGGCCACGGTCAGGGCGTGTGTCGCGGCTCGGCAGTTGCATGGCTGGCGGCCGGCCGGCCGTGGGCGGGTACCTGCCAGTTTGCCCCCGCTCCAGCACCAGCCAGCCGGCCGACGGCAAGAGCGGGCAGGAGCGGGCTCGACCTGTTGCGGAGCGCCTGAGCCGCAACTGCCACGAGCACTAGTGAGCCCCTAGCACCGCGCCGCCGACTCCTCCAGCTTTCCCCAGAGACGCCGGCGGTTTCGATATAACCAGAACAGCCCCGAACAGCCCTTGGGCCCCATTATTGACCTCGTCCGCCCTCGACGCTCCTCGTTTCGCTGCTGCTTTCCCCGGCGCCGGCTGCTGCACCGCCTTCCCCCTTGCTCGCGTCGTCCGCTGCGGTGCAACCGCATTTCCAGCGCCATGGGCCGTCGCGTCGAACACCCCTACGCGTGGCTTTTCAGTGCCTTCGCCGCTTTGGGGGCTTGCCTGTACGGCTACGACGGTAAGTCTGTGTTCCGCGGAGATAGGCAGTCTCCAATGGCAGGGACTCGTGTCAGAGCTCACGCCGGCACCCTCTAGGCGTGTACTTCACGGGCGTCAGCGAAATGGGCGTCTTCCTCGAGCACTTCGGCACGCCCAAGGCCGACGGCAGCGGCGATTACGAGATCAAACCGGCGGAACTGGCGGTCATGACCTCGATGATCAACGTGGGCGAGCTGGTGGGATCGCTGACGGCCGCCCCGTTGAACGACTTTCTTGGCCGCAAGGGCGTCTTCCTCGTCGGCGCCGTGACCGTCATCGTCGGCGTTATCCTGCAGCTGTCGACCGATCACAGTCACGCATACATCATCGGCGGCCGCATCATCCTGGGCTACGGCGTCGGCGCCTTCTCGTCGACGAGCCCGCTGTACATTGGGGTGAGTATCGTCCCGTTTCGTTCCTCATGGCAGCAGTTGAGGGCGGCGTCGCACGCACCAATCAACCCCCACGACAACGCGCGGCGCGACCCTTCGGGATAGGGGTCCGCCCGGTGGCCATAGCTTCCGGCGCCAATTGCCGATAAGCCTATACATCCTAAAGGTGGAGAACAGGCGGTAGTGGCTTGTCCAATGGCTCGTGCTGCGGTGGGGCACGCAACGAACGGAGCACACTACCGCCTCCGGGTACCTCCTCGGCGGGCTTGGGCCTGACGTCTGCTACACTGATGGATATCAGAGAGCATAGCTGATGGACGTTACCAACAGGAAGTAGCGCCCACGCACATCCGCGGCCCGCTGCTCATGTGCTGGCAGCTCACGCTGTCTGTCTCGCAGATCGTGGCCGCCGCCATCAACCGCGGCACCGAGTCTCTGACCACCACAGCCGCCTACCGCATCCCCATGGCTGTGCAGCTCATCTTCCCGCTGCTCGTCCTGACCTTCTTGTGGTGGGTGCCCGAGTCCCCGCGCTGGTTGCTGCGCAAAGGCAAGGGCGAAAAGTGCGACGACGCCCTACACCTCATCCACCGCGAGGACAAGGCTTACTCATCGCACGCCGACATGCTCGCCCTGCAGAAGGACCTCGACGACGAGGCCGCCCTGGCCAAGAACTCATCGTGGCTCGATCTCGTGCGCGATCCCATTGAGCGCCGCAAGGTCCTCTATTCGGCCGGCGCCCTGATTGCCCAGCAGATCAACGGCATCCAATGGTTCTACTATTTCGGCACCAACTTCTCCCAAGCCATTGGCCTTGACGATCCCTTTCTCATGACTTTGATCGTCTTCATCATTCAGGTTGTCGTTGTGTTCGCCGCCGTCCTGTGCGCCAACAAGCTCCCCCGCAGGCCTCTTCTTCTTATAACCACCGGCATCATGGCCGTCTCCATCTTTATCGTCGGCTGTCTGGGCATCCCTGGCGGCGATGTGTCCGAAACCTTTGGCAAGGTCATCATCAGTTTCGTCATCATTGAGATTACCGCTTTCAACTTTGCCTGGGGACCGCTCGGTTGGACCATCGTAAGACTCCAATCTCCCTTTCCGTTTCCTCTGGCCTCGCCCGGCGCTAACCTGTGACCTTTTCTCCTCGTCTACCAGGCGTCCGAAATGGCCGTCGGCCGCAACCGCAACAAGATCTACGCCATCGCCGTCGCCTGCTTCTGGGTCACCGTTTGGGTCATCGTCTTCACCCTGCCGTACCTGTACTACAAGGCTCATTTGGGCCCCAAGACCGGCTTCGTCTACACCGGCCTCTGTTTTGTGTCGCTGGCGTACGTGTGGTTCTGCGTCGGCGAGGTCACCGGCCGGACGATGGAGGAAATCAACGACTTCTTCATGAAGGTATGCGTTTTTTTTTTATCTCTTCATTTCACTTTCGACTATTATCCGCATTTCATTGGCTAATGTTCGGGTTTCTTCTTCCTCTCTCGTTGCAGGGCATTCCCGCGCGCGAATGGGCTCAACAGCCACGCAAGCCGCACCCAGAAGACGGATCCGACACTTATGAAGTTACGAACGAGAGGATGAAGAACGCTGAGCACACTTGACGAGAAGGGCACACGACTTCCTTGTTAGATAAGGATTATTCATTCCTTCCTCCAATGGCAAACAGAGGAGGGACAAAGACTGAACATATACATCTCTTAGCTGGACTGTATCTAGGGGGAAAGAGACGATTTTGAGTCTGAGCGCTGCGACAATTTGCTTTGGTACCAATAATTGGTTTTTTAGCTAATATACCCCTCTCGCCTCAACCCACACACTGTGTGCGAAAAAAGCAAAATACATACATGCATACAGTACGAACAGAAAGACAGTGAACGCATGTAAAAAGCAAAAAAAAAAAAAAAACATGCACAACTTGCATTGGGCTTGCAACAATGCCGGCCTCTGCTTGGAACATCAGGATCAGCATTATCTCCGGTTTGTCTTCAATATGGCCATTGCCGAAAAGATGCAGGCGATCATGCCATTGGGGCCACTAGCCTCTCGTATCGAAGCTGTGGCGAGCGGTGGCGTGCAGACCCCGCTAATATGGTGCATATCACAAACAGCTATGTATGGGTCGTGGTTACAGTCCTCGGGCTGGGCTTGATTGACATGATGTGATGTTAGGCGCTTGACGGTTCCGACTCGGCAACGATCTGCGGACGAATCATGAGACCATGCGGCCATCGAGTTGCCGGCGCGGGAGGGGGTCAACAAACACCGAGGTTGCCGATGAGCACTTCAGGTGCCGAGGCACAGGGCCGACGTTGCTTGGCCTGGGCGACGCATCATGATAAGGATCGCTAAGAGGCGTGTCTTGTCGAACGATGCAAAAGACATTGGCAGAGGTTCGTGCTGGGAAAGCCAATGGCGTGGGACATGTGGCAGCTTATACAGATGAGAAAATGAACAATAATGTAGACTACAGAACGCCGTGGCCTTCAAACAACAAACGCCCGTTTCGGTATCGTGCTAACCAAGGCACCCGTTATCCAAGAGAAACCCCGTTCAGTAGCCGCTCAGATCCCCCCATATTGACCAATAGTTCGTTACTTTACGAAGCCGACGCCGCTTTGAGAGCGAATGCGAACAGGCTGTCCATCTGCACCCACTGCCGGCCGTTACGGTCCAGATATGACTTGACGACATCCCCCCACGTTTCAAATCTCTCTCTGTTGACCTCTGCCAAGATGGTGACCTTCTCCTCCATCTCACCGTCGACGCCTTTGCCCATACCGCGGTCCTTCGATATCGCCACCTTCGCCTTGTCGACGTCGAACAAGCTCTGAAGGTACAGCAGCTGGTTGTACATGGCCTTGTCACCATACTCGTAACCCATACGACCAGCACAGCCAAGACCACGGCCCTGCGGCCCCAGGCAGCGGTGGCCGTACACGCTCATTTGGCGCGTGCGCGCACCGCATGCAGCGTCGTCGCAGACAAGCCAGCCGGCGTAGTAGCGGGCTGTGTGTTGGCGGATTTGCGCCTCGAGTTGTGAAGACACGGAAAGCGTCGAGATTTGACGGCCGCAAGACGTGTTGGTGCAGACCAGACCTTGATGTGAGACCGTCTCAGGCGTCTTTGCAAGCCCGCGGAACGTCGAATGGTGCTTGCAGGACGGGCAGCGAAGGGCAAGAGGCAGCGAGTCCCTGAAGCGCACCTCGTCTGGTATTTGCGTTTCCAGAGGGTGGATCTCGACATCCTGCGAGTTGGCAGATGCAGTGCTGACCCGGTACTTGGACGTGTCAAGGCCTAGGCACTCCGCAAGACGCGTTACGTTGGTGCCTGCGATGGGGGCACAGAGACGCTCAACAGGGGGCAGGATTTGCTTGTGGAGATAGTAGTCAATGTCTGCGTGCGTTAGTCTTAGTGTTTTGTAGGGTAAATGACGATGTTGGCTTACCGGGCTTAAGGCCAGAATCAGCCCTCAGGACATCATCAAGGGTGTAGGCGTTCTTTGCAGCAGTCTCAGCCGATCCACCGCTCTCGCCAGTAATGACAAAGGACATGACATCCTTGGCTTTGACGTGTTTGCCCTTTGCCATAAGGCGGAGCGCGACCTGGACAGAGGGCATACTGTTGGCGTTGGGGTATTCCTTGGGGTCTTTCCCGAGTTGGGTAAAGATGGTGTATTTCTGAGCGGGAATCTTGAAGTCGCGCATCTTCCCCGCCAGCTCCCGAAGGTACTCATGGATCTTCTCGACGACGGTTTCCGGATCTTCCCCGGAAAGCAAGAAGTTGAGAAGCTTCGAGGACGTCTCTTTTGACAAAGCACAGTACTCTCTGCGCCTCATGTCAAGACCCTTGACCTCGAGCTTCTCCGTCCACTTGCCATCTACTTCGATCATGTTGATAGCAGCATACTTCTTTTTGGCGTGAAGCAGCAGACGACGGAAAACATTGTCAATGTCGATCTCAAGAAGCTTGTAGCTGTCGTTGACGTCCCGCTTGAACTCGTTTCCGACCTTGAACGCGTCTTGCATATTGTCCATGTTGGTGTTGATCATGACGGAGTCGGTATCACCATAGATGACGCGAAGCATCTTGCTCTCAGCCAGATCCTTGGTCCTGCGCAGAATCTCACGACCCTTGTAGGTCGTAAGCATAGCAAGAGGACGGGCATAGAACCGCGACTTGGTGTATCCAAGACACCCGTACATGGAGTTAGCAGTGAGCTTCAAAGCCATCTGCTTGATGTCCCAGGTCGCGAGTTCGTCTCGAGACGCCGTGGGAGCCTTCATCAGCTTCTTGACCTCCCTTCTCCGATTTACAAGCGTGGCAATGAGCCTTGGAAGGATGCCTTGACTTTGCGATGCGTCTGGGACCTCAGGAACCTTCTCGTCGTCCTCGCTGAGATCGGACCGTTCCACAGTGGTGAAACAGATGTTGAACTCCTGGATGATGCTGGGGTACAGAGAGTTGAAGTCCATGACAAGAATGAAGCGGTCGTAGAGACCCTTCTCGGGCTCGAAGACGAGACCGCCCTTGTACTTATCCTTCTTCTTGGCATCAGCTCCCTCCTCTCCTTCCGCGGGCTCCTCGCTCAGCTTCTTGTTGCCTTTGCCGAAGACCTTGTCAGGGCAGATGTACTTGTTGCGGTAGAATTCGTGGAGTAGAATGTACTCGTTTCGCTCGGCTCTAGTACCGCCAAGGGTGCGTCCCCAAGAGTTGCCCGCAAGATTGGTGAGGACCTTGGTCAAAGGAAGCATTTGAACCTTTAATGCAATGGCTGCGATGAAGAAGGTGTCGGCTTCGCAGTGCTTGAGGTAGTTCATCAGGCCCTCGGGCTTGGTTGCCCAGGTCTTCAGTGCCGTCTCGCTGTCTATGTCCTGGCGGGACTTGCCTTCCCCGAGGACCAGCTCGCACATCTCGTTCAAGCTCCAAGACTGACACTTGGTCATCAATGACTTGCCGAGATCATTTGCCAGATCGCAGAGGAGGCGACCAGCGGCAATCTGCCTCTCAGCAAAGAAACTGCCACTGCCCCGGCCAAGGTTCTTGGGCCAGTCGCTTCTCCTCAGGCGGCCGATCCTGTGCCAGCCGGGAGTCTTCTTCTCACGCAAGCGGTTGAGAAGAACACTGTAATCGACATCCTCCAGACGGTGGCCCATGATAACGTCGGGGTCCATTTTGCCAAGGATTGCCATAAACATGCTGAGAAGACCTTGCTCATTCCTTTCCATTTTGATGGTGCCGGCATGTTTCTCAGCCTCGTACTTGAACCCAGTGGGGTAGGAGTCGCCGTTGGGACGCATGACGGTGAACGTCTTGCAGGGAAGCTTTTCGGCTGGGGTAGTGTCCGTCAATGCAACGTTCTCGTAGACTCTGGCGCTGGCCATGAGGATTTCCTGTTTGTTGTCCTTGACATTGAAAGTGGTCCTCAGCGCAATGCTCATCAGCGTAAGCGGAGGGGCTTCGAGGTTGTCCGTGTCTCCCAGGGTACTGATGCCATTCGGCTTCTCGACTTGGAACTCAAGCTTACACCATGAGGCGTTGTTGACTGCGTTGAAGTTGGCGCCCTCAATCTTCAGCCAGCATGGGCCCATGATGTTCTTCCATAGCACAAACTGCTCGAAAATAGACGTGTTGGTCCCGAACACGTGAGAGAAAGTCTCTCCCTTGTAGTCCGTCGGAATCGGCGACTTGGTGTAGGGATAAAGAAGTTTGAGGTATTCTGCCTCCTTCGGAATGCCTGGAAGCTCGAAAGCATATTTTCGAGTACATGGCTTAATCTTGTGCATGTTCACTTGGAATCTAGACATCAGTCCGTCCACCTCCTGGTAGACGTCGCCCATGCCCACCTCTTCGTCCGTATCCCGGCCTCGCTTCTGGCGGTATTCGCGGGGTAGAAAGTACAGTTTGCGTAGGATGTTGTCGATCTTTGCAAATGCACTGACAAAATTCCCGGTGGATTTGTCCTTGACCTTTCCAAAAAGGAAAAGATTACCGTTGATCTCGGTGTAGTCAAGCCAGAAGAACCTTAGACTACCATCGTCTTCAAGAGCGTTTTCAGACTTGAGTTTTCCCGCGGTGTATGAATTTTCAACGGCAGGGCTGCTCTGAATGTTCTGATTTTGGAGTATATCGTTCCAAGCAGCGGGGTTAATTGCAGTATCTTGCGATGGCCGTGGTGGTGATGAGCCAGCCGGTGTGGGATATGAGTCCTGCTTCTTGATCTTCGGCGCAGGCCTGCTGCCGGCCATGTTGACACCTGCGGTACGAATGCCAGCATGGCGAACAGCCTGCTCGACCTCCATGAGATCATCGTCCTCATCCTCTGCCTTTACGTTGACCATGGAGAACTTCCGCTCGACAGCCTTTGTCACCGGAGAAGAGGGAAGCGGTGGGTCGCTCATCATCGCGTCATCTTCTGCAGGAGGAATGTAGTTGTCTTCGTCTAAGGCACTAGCAGCGGGCGGGGTATCGGCCATGACACTGTAATCTTCCGTCTGGGGTTCGCGGGGCTGGGGCCTGCGTTCTTCGATAGGCGGAGAGAGGACGCGAGTCTTTCGTCGGGTTTCAGACTTGACAGTCTTCAAACGAGGACGGGTGGGTACGTTGGTATCGACTTCGCCCAAAAGATCTGCCATGAAAGCGTCGTCCTCGGCTGTCTTCACGGGCTAAGGCGCAGTCAGTGTGCTGCCAGTATCGGCGGTGTAGTACGGAGTCCACCTTGGGTTTAGGAGCAGTGGTAGCAGCGTGTGCGCTGAAGTACTTGTTGATCCCATTCTTGGCCTTCTCTTGTCTCTCGCGGTCCTCCTCCCGCTTTCTCTTAGCTATAGATGGCGTCAGCACACTGCTGCGAGTGGACGAACGCGCACAATGGAGATTCTCATACCGGCTTTGCCTCTCAGCGGCCGTTCTTCCTCGCTCTCACTGTCGTATTGGGGTAGGCGCTCGGTGTCCCAATCTTCTCTGCCGTCGTCGGCATAACCCTCGCCATTGTCGTCGACGACAAAGTCGTCCTGATCGAGACGGCTGCGAACGACCTTCTTGTAGCCCTCCTCGTCGACTTCCTCATATAACTGCTTTTCCTCCTCGACCTGGTAGCTGTCAAGGCGAGTCTTGCCTGCGGCTCTCAGAGCACGCAGCTCGGCCAAGGCTCCGGCTCCTCTCTTGGCCATGTTCGAAGGGAGGGGCGGTGATTTGGGAATTATGAGCTACTCCGAGACGAGAGCATAGGTGAGGGCGGGGCAGCGCGTGTGAATGGATATGGGGACACGGGTGGAGTTTGGCGAAGGTCGGCGTACAAGCGTCGCGAAATGGCGCGCAACGCGAGACGCGACCCGCGTAAAGTGTCCGTGCACGCGCTACGCAGTGGCAGGGATGCGATGACATCTACCAACCAGAGCCCCGCCAAACCAAACTTCTGCATCAGCCTCCTCGACTACCGCCGGTAACACCACCACCATGCCGGAACAGGTCTCCCGCGAACCGCTTGTCTGGATCGACTGTGAGGCAAGGGAGCCTTCTGCCAGCAACGTCTCCCCCAGCTTACCTCTACCAGATGACGGGCCTGAATGCCGAAACCGAGTCCATACTTTCCATAGCATGCTTCGTCACCGACTACGACCTGAACTTGCTGGATGACACGGGATACGAAGCCTTCATTCACCATGACAAGACCAGACTCGACGAGATGGATGATTGGTGTACAAAACACCACGCCAAATCGGGTCTCACTGAAGCATGCATAGCTTCCACCACCACCCACGAGCAAGCAGCCGAGGGTTTGCTCGAGTATGTCAAGCAATACGCTCCGGAGCGTCGCAAGGCCCTTCTCGCCGGGAACACGGTTCATGCGGATAAGAGCTTCCTCAACAAGGAACCCTACAACGCCTTGATCAAGCATCTCCATCACCGCATACTCGATGTCAGCGCAATCAAGGAGGCTGCCAGACGCTGGGCACCCCAGGAGGTCCTCAAGAAATCGCCGTACAAGAAGGGCCTGCACGAGGCCCGTACGGATATATTGGAGAGCATTGCAGAGGCAAAGTTCTACCGCGATATATTCTTCAAACCTAGCAAACTACCTGAGGCCGAGAGTGAATCGTAATTTCTTATGAGCTTCACTCATTCATCTTTCAACATTACCAAAAATCATACTATTTCAAGTACCATTAATACTGATCATCTGAGACAGGAAGAGCAGAGCTGATTTTCATGCCTTCACGTTCGGAAGCGGTTCATTGCAAGCGCCGCAATGTCCAACAGGGGAATTTTGCTGCTCCGTTCGGCCTTCAATGTTGCGCAGGCTATGGAGCTTTGGCTCCCCAAGCGGTATTTTGAGTGAAATATAGACCGGGTACACTAAATTGCCCACTGACCACGATCGAGTAAGGGTGTATTGCGACTATCACTTCGCCAATGGAGCTGACTCGGCTTATTCTCACGGCCTGTAAACATCTTCTGTTTCCCGATGCCGCAATGCGGGGCAAAGGATTCGGGTCTTGTGGACGTGAAAGTCTTCCTCTGCGAATTGCCATGCTGTAAGTTTCTATTCTTCGTCGCTTTAGTCCTCGGGCAGTCCTCCTGAAGGAGGCTTAGAACAGGGAGGTCCAAGCGATATCGAAATAGGATAATGCACTGGATTTCAAGGCTGTATACATGGCCCGACGTTGGATTTTACATCATCGCCGGTGGTGGTGGTGGTGGTGGTGCGCGATCGATCAGACGAAAAAGCGTTGCCCGCCAAATGATAATCAAGCACTACAAGCAGTTCAAGACGAAGATCGTCAGAATGGGCTGCGCCATCAGTTTGTCACTTCAATTGGGCGCCGGTGTCAAAATATACCGCCAAACGGGACGGCTAAGCCACATGCAATGATTGGACACACTCCCCGAATCACATACGTGCGGTGGACAAAATGTAGCATAGAATCATTGCTTTTCTTTTTATTGCTACAGACTCGGTCGTGACCATCTCATGTACGTAGGCACACAGGGTACTCTCGAAACTAGGAAGCAGTAAGAACGACAGGACCCAAGTCACAAGTCCCACTAATCAATCGCAATTTCTGCGAGTGTCGAAGCAAAAGAAGAGAAAAGAGCCCCGAAGAAGACGGCTACTAAAAGGCGGAAAGAAGAGAAGGTATAACCGGAAAGAGAAAGCCACCCGCAAGTATCCAGGCTGAAATAAGCGATGTGACCTGACGACCGCCAATCTCCCCAATAGCAGGTCTTTTCTCCGTTCCCGTTTCCCCGCTTCCACTTGAGACCTTCCCGCTATCATCTTTGACCCGAGAACTTCAAAGGAAAACCCCACCATTAGATCCATCAAATCGTACACTCAAGCTCCCTTTTCATTGGTTGCAAATCATCCTGAAAGACCCCGGTAACCATTGGCCATCATCCCTCATCGTCGTCGATATGCAGGGGTGCATGGGGCATGGTTTACGTGAGCGGGTGTTCTAGAAGGGTAAGCGGATATTAAGCCAGGATTGGTGTGGTATTCACCAGTAGGGACGACGGTTGTAGCTGCTGCTGTCGTCGTAACCACTGCGTGCACCAGGGCTCCTCGGCCTACCACGGGGTGACGGGGGACGGCCGTAAGGCCTGTCATGACCGTTCATGTAAGGATCAGGCTCGTAGCCACCGCCACGGCGGGGAGGCGGGGGGGCCCGAGCATCGTAAGGGTCATCGGGGTAGCGGGCGCGCGGCGGCGGGTAGGCGTCATCGACCGGAGGACCGCGGACGCGAGGGGGAGAGCGGGCGTAGCGATCACGCGGGTCGTAGTAGTCGCGAGGCGGCGAACGACGGCGGTAGTCGTCGCGACGAGGGCTGTAGCCACGAGGAGGACCACGACGGTAGTAGTCATCCTCAGGAGGACCGTAGCCGCGACCACGAACCGGCGAACGCGACCTGTAGCGCTCACGGGGGCGCTCCTCCTGGATCTGGTAGTAGTCAGAATAGGGGCGGTCGTCGGGAGAGAACGGCCTGGGTGAGCTGACATCTTGGACGCAACGGACCGCCTGTCCCTTGAATTCGCGGTTGTCGAGCTTCTCGACGGCGTTGCGGAGGTCGTTGGCTGTCTCGTACTCAACGAATCTGACTTGGTCACTATCTTGCTCGTCGTGCTTGGCGGGGGTCTTTGCTTACCCACGGCCATCGCGCTCGCGGCCAACCTCGGAGTAGACAACGTCCAATCCAGATTGGCGGGCGAAGTCCTTGAGATCCTATAGGTCCAGTGTGTAAGTTCCGGCCACGGCAGAAAATGGATGTGCGGTGACAAGCGACAAGCAAAGGGAAAGGTCCAGTCCTGGTCCAGATGCTTCCAAACAACCAGTGAAAGAAACAGGCCGCGCGAGACTCCATTGGCTCTCCCCAGGACAAGACAAGTGAAACAGGACACCAGCACTCTACAAGCGGAAGGGGGATGAAAGGCGGCCGATAAGAGAGACCAGCGTCCGGCTACCGGGAAGAGGAGCGTCCCACAAGCGGAACCTATCAGCCCGGGAGGTGCAGACGACGCGAAACCGTGCGTAGCTGGCTCAAGGTACAGGAATGGTGACGGGAACGTGGACATGGGAAAGGAATCCAAAGGTCTCTGAACCAAGTGTTACGGGGAGATTGCTAACCTGCCAGCTCGTCTCGACGGGAAGACCAGTGATGGACATGCGGAACGGGGTGCGCCTGGGGCGCGGGACAGCGCGCTCCTGGTGGGAGTAGCCGTCGTTCTGGCGGCGCGAGCCGCGGGCGAACTGGACAACGAGGCGCTCGCCCATAAAGTCGGAGCCATCTGCGGTGGAACAGTGTCAGAAAAGCGCCGATCGCTTATGCAGGCGGCTGGGGCGCAATAACGTACGGAAGGCTGGTGGTACAGGTCAGTAAAGTGTCTCACGACGGGCATGCGGGGGCTGGGCGGCCAACTCACCAGGAACGACATCTCGGGCGTCCATGGCATCCTTGTACTCGATGAAGCCGAAGCCATTCATGAGCTTGATCTCGGTGATCTCGCCAGTGCCATGGGTCGCAAAGTGGGCTTCAACATCGGCCTTGGTGGCTGTGGTGTCGGGCAATGGTAGTCAGCGACGCGCATCACTCCAGGAAGAAAAGCGACAACGGAACGGTGGTGGTGATGGTGGTGGTGGTGTCTTTGATGCCAGTCCGCGCGAGGCCGGCTGTGTCCAGCAGCGATCCAAATCCATCCAAAGCGCGAGTGGGAGCGATCCGATCCAGCAGCCGGGCAGGACATCAGGGAGTGAGCATACCGTTGCGAGGAAGGTTCCCCAGGTAGAGGCGAGTGGACGACACCTCAGTCATGATGGGCGATCCCTCGAGCAGCTAGCCGGCGCAGGCAGAAAAAAGGCAAGGCAGGTGGAGCGAACAACGGCTGCGGTGTCCAAAGCGCAATAGAGCAGCGGAGGCGGCGGGCGGATGGGACAAGACGGGGCTCCGCGATCCTGGATGGCGAAGGACGGGCGGGTGGTGGTGAGTTGGGAAGAGAGCGAGCGGGCGCAAGATGGAAAGGCTGACGGCGTGGAGGCCGCTGGCGCCCTCGCTTTGGGGCGCTATGACCCGGCCGGGTTAAGCGCCACCTTGGACGCGCCAGGCTGCGATCCTCCAGGCCGTTTGCCCCGGCAAATGCAAATGCCCAACCGTGTCAGATGCCCGCGCCGCCCGCCTGCCTGCAGCCCCAGACCCAGCGCGCCTGCTGTGGCCGCGCCTGCAATGAGGCTGCCGTCGCACAAGCCGCGCGCTCGACGAATCAGTGCGGCGTGGAGGTGGCGCTGCAGGCGAGGCGAGCCCGAGCCCTGCGCGCTGCGCGCTGCGACCCGGCCTGATCTCAGCAACCTACTAAGCACACCCAACGGCGCGCTGCCCCGCCAGACACCTTGCGCGCCTCGACGCGCTGCTCGGGCTTCCGATGCCTCGCCAGCACTGCCGATTGCCGGCCCTGCGCGCCGGCCGTGCCCAATGGAGCTGACGGCGCCCGCCCGTGTCGAGGGACGCCTACGTCACGCCCCCACCGCGCATGCACCTGGACGCTGCACAATATGGAAAAAGGAACATCAATGGAAATTCGCCCCTTATGTGCCGCTCGTGTGCGCCGGTAGTTGCACAGATCGAAGCTCAAATATACATCCCAAATGTTTCCAGCCCTGATGATAGTAAAACAGTGATCGTGTCCAATAACGCCACGCCCTTTGCTTCAGCACCCTCGCTCTCAATGCAGGAGCTTGTCTGACGCCTTGGAAAGAATGCGTGCAGCCTTATCCACCTGCTGCTGTGCCAATGTCCAGTTGCCCACTTCAATCGCGTCTCGTACTGCTGGGAAGTAAGCCTCGTCGTATCCGCTCCACGCGTCCGGACCAAAGATGATGTGCTTAAACTGCTCGCGCCCGGGAATGCCGTGCTGCTGGCCGTCGTCCTCATCCACGTTTTTGCCGCCGTCCGGCAGGTCGAGCAAGTGAGTCTCAAAGTTGGACATGCGCGTGTTGTGCGACAACCGCTCCATTCCCATTGAATTAGTCTCGTAGCCCGCCCGTCCGCGGAACTGGCCCCACCACCAATCTTCCCAACTCTCAAACTCCTTCGCGTTCTGCTCAAGCGTGTCGGCCGCCTCGCGCAGCGCCTTCAGATTGAGCTGCTTGCCCTGCGTTGCATCCTTTCCGACGGCGAACTTCTCCAGATCTTTGATGAATCTCTTGACGGCCATTCCGTATTCCCTCATGTCGAACGGGTAAATCGGCTCTTGCGCGAGCTCGAGAATGAGAAGCACCCAAATCTCCGCAAGCGTAGCGTGGTAAACGAATCCAGGATCGCCGTACTTGTCCATCCAGTCGAACGTTTCGTAGCAGCTGTGGTATGGATAGCCATTCTCAGGCCCGTCGAACCCGATGTCGATGCTGGAGCACCCGGCAAGATCCTGGAACGCCACGTAATCACTGCCGGCACCCAAGCCTTCCAGCTTGCCACCTTGTTCGTTCCAGATTTCGCCGACGGTCCTGTTCTGCAGAGGGTCTGCCACACGAGCCAAGACCCGATTGAGCGCTGTTTGGAAAAGGGGAGACCCCAAAGCCCGGAATTTGTCGCCCACGACGCCGACGTCGACATTCAGATAGGCAATGGCATTCTCGCGAATGTCATTGATATGATCTTCCACGTACTCTGTCGAGCCGATCATGTTGTACTCCTCAGCGTCCCAAGAGGCGAAATAAATGCTCCGGAGGGGGCGCCAGCCTTGCTGGACCAAAGAGTCAAGCGCAGTGATGACTTCCATCATGACCGCCGTTCCACTGGAAACGTGTCAGTACGAGAGAAAAACATGAGAGGCTCAAAGGAAACAAACCCTCCGGCGTCAGCCGATCCGAAACACCAGGCATCGCGATGGTTGCCAACAAAGATCTTCTTGGCTGACACCTCGACACCCTCAAAGACTCCCATAACGTTCCAGATAGGTTGTTTCTCCTCTTCATCCTGCTCGTTCTGGAGAAGCACAAGCGGCGAGGTCTTGTCTCCGGTCCACCAGTCGACTTCCGGAACGCCACCTACCCAATGCTTGGGTGCCTTGTCGCCGTGGCCCTTGAGCGCCTGCAGCAGTGGCTTCGCATCGCGCCACGCGATAGGCATGCTGGGAATGTTGGGTAAAGCCGGGTTGTTGTCCTTGCTGATCCGCGGTGCATCCAGCCCGCTTCCAACGCCAGGAGTAAGCACATCACCAACGATCCAGGCGGACCGAGCAACCGAGCCTCTTTGAACCCCGTCTTCCGGTCTCCATCTTCCGTCTGGATAAACATCTCCTCTTACGAAACCGTCGTCCTTCGGGTCCGAATAAATTAAACATCCAATAGCCCCATTCTCTTCCGCGAATTTGACCTTCATCGCTCGGTCTGACATGGTGCCGTAGTAACGAACTAATACAATTGTACCGTTAACATCAATCCCGCGATCTCTCAGTGTCTTGAAATCCTCCTGGCTGCCGTAGTTCGCGTAGACGAGCGGGGCAGTGACATTTCCGGCCCTCGAGAGTCCGTGGAAAGCCAGCGTCTGCTGTTCAGGGCTGATGTCGGGCATGACCAGCTCCTCCTCAAGCTTGGCCTCGTATCTAAATTGCGGGGGGTCGACGATGGCGACTCTCCGGCCACCCTTGACGGGATAGTTCAGGTAGACATTATATTCCAGAGTGGCAACTTTATCCATGCCAGCCTGCGTGAAGAACGACTCAATCCAATTAGCCAAAAACTTGTCGCCCTTGGTCCCGGCAACGTGATCGATGCTGGTAATATGCTTTAGGTTTTCGCGGATGCGTTCCGCCGAGATCTGCGACTGTGCCCACGAGCGCGCCCACTCGGGATTGAAGGGCGCCATGCCGCCACGGCCGAGGGGAAGGACGGAGGTGACGAGGAGGGCGTAGACCAGCGACGCCATCATCAGCACGCCGAACAGGCGCAGGACGACGCTGTAGCCGGGGCGCATGTGCTCCGGTATCGACGGCAGGCTGCACGAGAAGGTCGGCCATCGGAGGGGCTTGCGCCAACGTGGCAAGCGTATGGATGACAGGGTCGCACCGATGCTTGAAATGCGCTTGGAGAAGCTCATGTTCATGCGGGCGCGACGGCTGCCGTGGGGCTGGCCACCGGCCTCGATGACCTCCAGCTGTTCCATCTCGCGATGCAGGCCCGACTCCTCGTCCTCGCTCTCCTCGACCATGTCGGGTAACGACAGGTCACTCTCCATGCTATCCCGGACTGACTCGACCGACGGCTGTTGGTATCCATCCGGACGACGTGATGCCCCTCCGCCGCTGCTTCCTCCGCCGCGGCCGCCCAGCAGACCTTGCCGCTCCGCATCGTCGCTGACCTCGTTGGGGCCGAGGTGTGAGAGGGCCGACGGGGGCCGCGACGAGGTGGCTTCCTCATATGTGGGGATGGGGAGGCTCTCATGGGGATCGTAAGGGTGTTTTTCGTCGACCATTGGTGTGGTGGAGGGACGCCAGGTCCCGGGGGGGCTATGACGCGGCGCGCGGGTGCGGGTTGATGGAAGTTGGGTGGGTGTGGTGTTGGCGGTCACTGCGTGCTCATGGTCGCTGGCCGGGGGGGCGACAGGCGGTCAGATCGAAGGAAGCGAACGAGCGGCGGCGAAGCTGAAGGGAGCGTGGTGGTGAAAGGAGACGGTGCGTATGGCGTTGCGGCGGTGCAGGCCGTGTCTGGAGCAGCAGGGGAGATCGCTGGGCTTGTCTCGAATGCTCGGCGACTCGGATGCTGCGCGAGGCATTACGAATTCGCCCTCAGCGGCGCCTCCTGGGTGCCTTGGCGCGCCGCAACACTCGACGACCTCCCGCACGCCGCGGCTTCATTCGCCGCAAGCACCAGAGCCCCCGCACTGGCGCCCTGTGCGCCGCGAGATGTGCGATGGGCTCCACATTCTCGACATCTCACCGAATTCCTGCGCAGCTGCGCAGCTGCTCCACGCTCCAGCACCGGCTCGTCCGGCAGCGACAGGTCCAAGGGTCCGCCCAGATGCTCGCAGCAGCCGCGGCGGCGCGCTAGCTTGCAGGGTCCCGCTCATTGGAGCACCTCCTTCGTGCGTGCTGCAGCGGCGAAAGGCGCCGTCCTATTACTGCGTCGAAAGGGGATGCGCAATTCGGCAGCGCGGCAGGGACTCATTTCGCACGCTGGAGTGGCTGAAGGCAATGAAATACCCCAGTCTCGCTCCCACGTCAGCGCCAGCACGCCGTGTCCGCCTCTCTTCTCAACGCAGTGCCCGTGTCAGGTCGGTCCAGCTTGCCGTCACTCCCGGGGGCGCCACAGCAACTCCAACTCTTCAAGCCTCGATCGCCAGCCATATGTATCGTGCAAGATAGCCTCGTAATGTGCAATTCTACTATTTTCGCACTTGCAGTCTCCACATCAATTGCCTGCTGGTCCGAGCTCCACGTCCCAAACAGGCTGTCCACGTACCTACTACACGCGGTCCTACACCAGTCCTCAGTAGTTTCTTCTCGCGCACGCAATACCCTGTCATCTCGCCTGTCGTAATCCATATCCGTACTCTCCAGCCTCCAAGGGCCCTTTTACCGCTTTTCACCGCAACCTCCCCTCCACCTTTCCCCTACATGTTCCTTCCACCCGTAACCGAGATGGTCTGTCCGCTGACATAGCTGAACAGCGGACTCGCGACGGCCAAAATCGCGCTCGCCGCCTCGGTTGCAGTGCCAGGCCTCCCGAGCGGGATGTCCGGGAAGCCGCCCTGCGCGCGCGCGGCGCCCTGGGCCTTCGGGATCCCGAGCGCGACCTTGCTCCCGTCCGGGGTGGTGACGAACGCACCCTCCTCCTTCGCCGCCGTCAGGCGCGTGAGGATGTGCCCGAAGGCGACGGTGTTGGCGCGCACGCCGAACGCGGGGCCCCATTCCTTCGCGATGGTCTTGCTCAGCCCGACGACGCCCGCCTTGGCCAGCGCGTAGTTGGCCTGCCCCGCGTTGCCGTGCAGGCCCGACGTCGACGAGATGTTGATGACGTTGCGCGGCTCGCCGTCCTTGACCCGGAAGTAGGGTGCCGCTGCGCGGACCAGCTTGAAGGGCGCCGTGTTGTGAAGCGCCAGGATCGTGTCCCATTGCTTGTCCGTGGTCTATATATTGCAGGCCGTGTGTCACTCAGTCTGACCCCGTATTCGGATAACGAGAGCAGCGGTAGATTGGGGGATGGCAACAGAAGGGGGGACAAACCTTGTGAATAACACCGTCCCACGTGAAGCCAGCGTTATTTACGATGATATGAATCTTGCCGTTGCCGAACTCGGCCGCCTTCTTCACGAGCTCGTCGATGTACTTGTCGTCCAGCATGTCTCCGGGCACGGCGATGGCGCTGCCGCCACTCTCGTTGATCTGCTGCGCCACTTCCTCGGCCTTTTCTACAATGGAAAAGAAACGGTTAACCTTGTCTTCCTTTCGCTGAGTAGTTCGCAGTGGAATATAACTCACTGCTGTCAATATCCGACACCACAATCTTGGCACCTTCGTTCGCGAAGAGCTTCGCCGTCTCCGCGCCGATGCCTTGGCCCGACCCGGTGATGATGGCGACCTGCCCTGCCAATAGCCCCTTGGGGTAATTAAGGTGGCCAGCGATCTGGCTCACGCGGCTGGAGTACGACATTCTTTTGGGGTCTGGTGCAAATTCGTGCGGGCAGGTGTTCAGATACTCTGTGCAATTATTGCAGGTTCAATTGTAGTCGAAAGGCGAAATGTGCCAGGGAGAAGCGTCGTGGTGGTTGGGGGCAGCAAGGATAAACCCCCAGAAAGCGGAGTAGCTATGGGGAAAGCTCGTCTCTCGAGAATTGCCGAGGATGATGACGCCAAAAGCGGGTGCAACGTACCGCGGCAGGCCCCAGCGCCGCAACACCACCACCAACTGCAACCTCGGGAAAAGGAAGCTGCTTGCAATCACAGTCAGTTGCGAGCAGAGGCAGGGAAGAAAGTTTATCGAAGCCCTCTAGGGGTCTTATGGATTTGACTATTTCGTACTATCTACGTGTTTGTTTGTTGGTTGTGTATGTGCAAAAAGCGACCATTATGCGCTTTTGTGTAATGGAGATAAAACGCCCGTAAATGCCAATCAAAAACACCGGGCCCATATGCTGCCTTCATTCCCATCCATCTTAATCATCATCATCATTCACAAACCATCATAAAAACATTCTCGCAAAGCCAGCTTGGCGAGTTCCGCGTGAGCGTGTCATCTCTTCTTGTCCCTTCAATCGTTGAATCTTTTTACCTGCTCGACCTCGACCTCTTGCTCTTGCCCAGCTCCTTCCTGTTGAGCGGCTCGTCCGGGAACACCCAGCCGCGCAGGCGCTTGGCCTCGCGCTTCTCGCTGAGGTTGGGCTTGGGAATCCACGCGTCCTTCTCCTGGCAGTGCTGGCGGGTGAGGGCAGCGGGGCCACCAACCTCCATGCGCCAGCTGCCGTGGATGCCAGGGAGCGGGTTCTCCTTGGCCAGCATGTGCAGGTACCAGAGAGCCAGACCGGCAGTCATCTGGGGGGTCTGCTCGCCAGTCTCCGAGTCGACGCGGAGGCCGCTGTTGGAGATCTGGATGGGAGCGCTGAGCTCGAGGTAGCCGAAGAGCGGCACACCAGAGCCGGCGTCAGAGCTGACGGTGGCAGTGTCCATGGTCTGACCAGGGTTGGAGGGGTCACCACCGCAGCGGACGCAAAGCATCTCGATCTCGGTCATGATGAATCCGTAGCGGCAACCGTGCTCGCGCATAACGCGGTGCAGGTGGGCAAGGCCAGCCAGGTAGTAGACCTGCTTGTTGGGTGCCTCGGAGCGCATGCCAGTGTTCCACTGGTCGTACGACTTGACGATTCCGACGACACGGCCGCGCTGGTCACCGTAGATGGTCTTCTCGTAGTCGGTCTGGTAGTTGGAAACGAAGTCGACGGGGGTCTGGTTGGTGGGAAGACCCTTGCGGGAACGAAGAGACATGTGGGTGTTGCCCTGGGCGATGTTGAGAGCGGCGCTGACCTTGGTGCCGTAGTAATCACGGATGATGTCGTGAAGGGCAGACTCGCTCTCGGGCATCATGTTGGCCTTGGGAGGGGTGGGAAGGGACATGGCATCAATAGGGATCTGGAGGAGAGGCATCAGTCCGGGGATGGAGCTGATGGTCTCGATGTTGAAGTCATCCCAGCTGCGGAGGTTGCGGATGTCCCACCAGTAGTGGCTGCCGGTCAGGTTGCGAGCACCAGTGGTGACGCGCTGGACGAGAGCGGGAGAAGGGTTGGCGCTGGTGAGGTAGTCCAGAAGGGTGGTGGTAGAGGCGGGCTGGTCGAAGGCACCGTACTGGAGCTCAGCAGCCATGGGCTGCTGGACGGGAGGGGCAACAGCAGGGACCTGGTCCTCGAAAGAAGTGGTGGTCTGAAGGGGGAAGGTGTTCATGGGCATGGCCGTTGCCAGGTTGTACGAAGCCGCCTGAGCCGCCGAGCTCTGGGTGACATAGTTCGGCAGGTTGCGGTAGGTGGGGTAGCCATAGCGGTTGATGACGCTCTCGTCGATGCTAGTAGCAGAGCTAGAGCGAGAGTGGGACCGGACACCAGAGACCGAGTGGGCCGAGTGAGAGCGGGAGTGGGTTGCCATGGAAGGACGGCGCGAGAGGTTGATGGGGGAGTTCAGGCCAGAGCCGAAGTCGAACATGGAGGGGGCGGGGGAGCCATACGAAGCGTTGCTGAGGGGGCTGGTCGAGCGGCGACCCACAGACGAAGGACGCGCGTAGGGGTTGTAGTTGGAGATGCCGCTGGCCGCAGACGCCGTCCGGCGGTGCCTGATGGGGCCAGAAGTCGAGGGCTCAGTGGTCTGATCCTGCGACCGGATCTTGGGCAACAAGAGAGGGCCATGCTGACGGACGGGCGATCTTGCCGGAGTGGGCGCGGTGGCAAGACCGCACTCCGGAGAAGCATCGGGCGTCAGGTAACCCGAAGGGGCCTCGAAGGAGGTCTGAGCGTCCTGGCAATAGGAGCCGTAGGACGAAGGGGGGGTGTGCTGCCTCGAGTACATGATGATTTTTTGTGATGTTGTTGCTTCCGGACTGAGGCATGTTAGGAGCGAGGAAGCCGAGCACGGGCTTGATTGGAGACTTACGCAACTGTTTAGAAAATAAACAAGAGGTGATTAACGGCGAGCGATTTGGTGGAGACCGGCTCCAAGAGACACTCAAGAACAACAGATGAAAGGAAAGGCGAAACACGAAGGAACTCGTGGGTCTCGCTCGGACACACGCGTAGAAGATGGTTTGTGAAGATAGGATGACTGGAGAGGAGAGAGCAGATGGGGTGTGGCAGAGCCGCTGGTACTTATTTCCAAGGCTGTGAGGCCGTGACATCCAAAGAATCTTGCAGAGCCGGGGAAAGTGGGACTAGCGGCAAACAACTTGAAACAGAGTGATCGACGGCTGGACCCGATTTAGGGCCCCGAAGCCATGTGCAGCGAGTATCAGGTCCGTGTGAGAGTGCGTCCCTCCAGCGCGCCAGGATGCGTGAAACAAAGCACCCAATGGGGAATCCTTATGCGCAATTTGCTGCTGAGACAGGCGCTATTATGGGCTTTATGCCTGGCCGGGCCGCCCGCTCGGCCGCTCGAAGCGGCTTGATGCGTCTTGATTGGGGAAGGGGTGCTACGTGTGGCCGCCGGAGTGCTGCGCTGCCGGGCGATGCGCTGCGACGGCGGGCGGCACGCGAGACGGCGGGCTGGGGTTAATTTGGGACGCTGGCGGGCGCTGCCACCGTCCTGATCGGGCGCTATTTGCAGCGCTGGCGCCGGGCCGGGGCGCTTGGGGCGCGGTCGGTGAGCGTCCATGCTCGCGAAGTCGAGTTAGGGTGCAGCTGGCGCCGGCGAGAAAAACCGCGTGTGGGCGGCGCGATTGGCTGCGGGCGACGGGCCCCCGGTCGCCGATTCCTCCAAGAGTCTTACCGCTTCGACAACTCACTGGCCCACAGCGAAAGTTCGTTTCGCGGCTGCAGCTACGTCTGCATGAGTGACTCACACCTGCAAGCGGTGAGCGCTGGCCGGCCACGTTGAGTCCTCAGGTGCTCAGAATCTGCACCGCCCGACGTCAACCCGCCCGCCTAGCTCTTTCCTCAGGCCTTCGCCCCGGGACTTGCGGCCTTCGAGAACGTCGCCGCGCTCGAGGGCCGCTGACCGCTTCTCTGGCGGCACTTCTCGCGGCCGCGCGCGCGCTGCTAGCGTCAGCGGGATGCGTGGGATGCGTCTGGCTGCACGGCCGCGCCCGCAGCGGCAGCGCACCACGGCTACCTGCGTGCCCTCTGCTGTGCGGCTCCCGACGCGCAGCGCGCCCGCCGTGCGTGCTGCAGCGCTGGTTGAGGGCGCGAGGTGCGGATAGCCGCTCGCGCTGGACGCCTTCCCCGCGCCGCCCGCGCGCGCTGATTGGCCCGCAAAAATACACAGAGCCGCAACACTTGGGCGCAATGTCCCTAAGCGCCCACCTCAGCGCTTCTCCGACTTCGAGAAGGAAACAAAAAAACGATCTGAGCATGGACGCGGCTCCACACGCGCCTGCTCAGCCTGCTCAGCCTCCTCCCTGATCCGACCAGCGTAGCATGTCCGTGTCCAGATCGTCGTCTGATCCACGGGAGACACTTCGAAGCGCCCAGCCACCCAGCTCCAGCCGCCTGTGCAGCGGCTGATCTACCATCTCCCGCCTCTTGGGACAATTTGACGCGTGGAGGAGATTACTGTGTTCCATTGAAAATGGATGCTGTGTCTGTGCGAGGAGGATCCCGCAGGATGCCATGGCCCAGAAAAAGCATCCATCACGAGCGCGTAGTTGCTGCGTAGCATCGTGCACACGTGCCGGCCTTCGTCATCACGACAATGACGCCGTGGAGACTGCCGCCGACTCGGGCGGCTGCTGCGGCCCCGAGTTCGCCCGACTGTGTGCTGTGTCAGTAGTGTGCTGGCCGCCGGCTCATGCCTCATTTGTGCTGCAGCCGCTCCTCAACCTGCTTCTGCCACCACGACGGCCAGTCCACTACGGCCCGATGCCTTCGTGCCTCCTCGGCCGCAAACACCATAGCGTGGCTCTGGACCACCTCTTCCAGCGTGCACCCAATGAACTTCTTCTGCGCCTCGACCACCCCCATCCTGCCGTCCTTAACCGCCCCAACCGCTTGCACAAACTGCGTTGCTAGCCCATCGTCGCCACCGCCATGACCACCGCCGCGCTGCTCCGGAGTGAATATCTCCGTGCGGTCGCTTGCAAAATCATGCACCCTGATAGTGGCGCTGTCGTATTCAATCTCGCCCTTGGTGCCGTATATGCGCCCTCGGCGCTCGCAGATTTTTTCCGTGAAGGCCACCATGTGAAACTGGGCAGTTTTGGCGAGACTGCCTGATGCAGCATCGTCCTCCCAGCTGATTGTCACGCATTGGTCGTCGCAGACGTCGTTGTCAGCCTCCCACACGCATCTCCCAAACCAAGGTCGTCTGCGCACTTCTTCGTCTGGAGTCTCGGATGTCCAGTCTTCCGAAAGATCCTTCATCAGCATTTTCTCAGCTGCATCCGGCCCTAGCGTGCTGAGACAGTCTTCGATCTCAGGGTTGACGATCTTGACCGGCCACCCTGCATTGCCTCTTCTCAAATGCCGCTCCGCATAAATCTTCTTCGCGCTGAACATGCAGTCCTTCTCCATCGGGCATGAAAGGCAGTTGGTTGCCGTGCCAGCAGCCGCTGGCTTCCTCGCCTTTCTGTAGAAGTTCCGTTTGCCGGTGGAACTGAGGAAAGCTGGCTTGTGGGCCTTTTCTCCCGCTTTTGCCGGCTCGCTGAGCATCCACAGCAAGAAGTCAATGTCGTGGCAAGACTTCGTGAGCAACGAGGGAGCAGTAGTAGACTCTCGCCTCCAGTTTCCCCTGCGTCGCTGTCAGTAACGACAGCGATCATTGATCGGGTTGGTAAGACATACCTCACATAGCTGTGCGAGAAATGCCACCAACCTGCGCACACACACACATTCAATCAGCACAAACACATCCCACGAATTCACACCCGCGCAAAGTGGTCACGAACCAACCGGCTCCGTATGCTCCACGCTCAGCACGTCCCCAACCACGCCCTGCTCTCTCACCAGCCTCCTCAATAACATGTTGTGCGGGGAATACCTCAGCACGTGCCCGATGCTGAAGATGCGGGGCACGTTGATGTTGCCGTGGCTACCACCTGATGATCCGCTGCCGCCGCCGCCTCGCAGCATCGCCTTGTAGATGGCCACGCAATCCGCCAGCGTCGTCGCCAACGGCTTCTCGCACATGACCGCCAGCCCCAGCGGCGCCAGGCCCTCGACCACCTCGCGGTGCTGCTCATCCAGCACGCACACGAACGCTGCGTCCACGCCCGGCGGGACCTGGCCAGCAGCAGACGAGGTCGAGGCCGAGGCCGAGGCCGCCCGCGCCCGTCGTGCCTTCTCCCATTCCACGTAGTCGCGCCAGTCCGCGAACGCGTGTTGCTGCTCGTCGTGCTCGCCGGCCCCCTCCTGTTGCTCCTTTCCCTCCTCCTCCTCCTTCTCCGCGGTGGTGATGAAGCGGGAGACGAACTCGCGCCGCTTGAACGCGATCGGCTCGGCGACGGCGGCGATGACTGCGGCGGTATGCTTCGCGACGGCGCTGGCGTAGGCGTGACCGCGCGAGCCGGCGCCGATGACGAGGATGCGCGGCGGCGAGGGCGAGTCGGCGAGGAGCTTCTTGGGCTGGAGGGGGGGAAGCGAGGACGTCGATTTGGCGGCGACCGGGCCGGCGGCGGCGGCGGCGGCGGCGATGGGCTCGCCCAGTTTGGACTCGGGGATGTTGGTGTGCATGATAGGAATGCGGTGTTGTGGAGAGGCACGAGTGGTACGGTTGGGGAGGAGGGGGTGGAGGGCACGGCAGGTAGGTAGGTAGCTGGCAGCGTAGACGTCACAGGCAGCGCAGGAGCGAATGCGAAACGACTGTATTGTTGTATTTTAACGATTGGTGATGCTGCACCCTAATGGCTCATGTTGGAGTAGCATTGCAGAAGACGGAGCTCTGATAGATGGCATGTTAGGTGATGCAACGGTAGGATAATGCTATCTAGAGATTCGCTGATTGGAGAGATGCACTGGCAGGGAGCCCGGAAGTGGGGAACGAACGCACCCTGACCCGTGCTGGACGCCACTCTCGTGCAACACCGACATGTCCATCTCATTTATTGACTCTTGCCTTTTTTAAAATAGTTGCACGATTGACGAAACCAAAATCAATAGTAATATAAATGTATCTATCTTACTTCCCATCTGTATGGGGATGGCAACCCTAACTTTAATTGGAGCTTCTCCGCTCAGATAGTAAAAATTTCCAAAATGAATTTCCGACAGCATTGTGATAGAACTCCTCCCATGCTGTCCTTAAATTGGTTTGTAAACTGTAGCAAAAGCACTTGGTCTGCATGCGCTAGCTGTTGTCCTCGAGATGTCGGATTGGGGTAAATCTGTCGATCTATAAGCATGCATGGAGCTTGCGACGATCACGTCCTGCGACATGGCTAGTAGACATGGCGTAGGCAGTACAAGTTGATGTCGGCAGCGTAATGGTGGCCAAGCGGCCGTTCTCCTGGCGCTTGTGGTCTCCGAGATCTCCTAGCTGCTGTCGTCGATGATCTCGATAACCTCGATTCTCTTCTCCCGAAGCGCCTTCAGTCTCCGTTCATAGACCATCTCCGCGAGATCCTCGTGGTCTCGCAGGAGCATGGCCACCAGCGAGTTCTTCGTCTCCCTCAGCCGCTCGTAATTCCAGCTCACATGTTCAGCCACTGCCTCTCTGAGGCTGTACCCGAAGCCACCCTCGAGATCTGGGTCAGGCTCAACTCGGAAAGCGACCTTAGCGACAAGGATGATGGAGTCGTCAGGCCAGGGGGCGAGAGCCATGAGTTGACTGGTGGCCCTTTCGGCTTGAACCCAGTGAGACTTGGCTCTGGCCGCGTCGAAGGCTTTACAGAGCTGGATGATTGCGAGCTGATTTCCAGTTCCAGCTTGATCCGGCTTGGTGCTGGAAGACTTGGAGTCTGTAGGTCGATTGCTGGAGGCAGACCGAGCATGGACCACATCCTCGGAAGAAGTCGTGGCGGTGCTGCACACGGAGGCTCTTTTTGCTGCTGGACGACGTACGCAAGGAGCGCGATTCGGCTCAGGATCTTCTTCGCTATCCTCACTGGAAGAGTCACTTGTGACATTGCCATCGGTGTCGCCGTCGCCCGCACTGTCTTCGTCCTCCGACATACTCAGGAAGGGATCCTCTCGCGCCTTGTCGAGTTTCTGCTTCTCTTTCTTCAATCTCTCAAAGTAACCCGCCGGCGGTTGAGCATCGTTGTCGTCCTCGTCAGGAAACCAGTGATGCGCATGTTTCCCAGTGTGAGCCTTGAGCTTCATCTTCTTGGCATGGCCGAACTCTTCGCCAAATTCCCTTTCTCTCTTGAACTTGTCCCAAGGTCTTTTTGCATCTTTCTCTGAACGCGTCATGGCTTTCTTGGATCGTGGCGTGTGTAGATCGGAGCTGCCGTCGGAATCTTCACTCGAGGAGGTGACGATGTTCTGCAGGTCCCGCGCAACAAGTTCGCTCCGCCAGTATCCAAGGTCTGGAAAGACAGGATGGTTGGGAACATTCGAGCCAAGAACGCATGCAAAGGCTTCCTGGAGTTGTTTTTGGTGCGGTCCATCCGAGATGTGCTGCTGGGCCGAAGGGTCGAATTCATGGGTGTCGCTACTGAGGGCCCACGTGCTAGAAGGTAGAGATGTCGGTCAGCATGTGAACACTACGAAGATCCAGGTCCTATTGATCATGGGTTGACACGTGGCTTACAACTCCAATAGTGGCAGTAGCAGCACCGGCAGGTGATAACCTGACGGTCGAGCACCAACTTCGTGGGCTGGAATCATGTCGTTGGCGCATTGTACGGCTGGCCAGCGCGCATTACCTCGATCTACAAGGTGGTAGATTGCGTCATTGCTCGACATCTGTGAAGTTCAACACGACCGATGAAGTGAATCAAGATCTTTAAGTGATTAATTTGGGAGCTGGGTGGTCAGTAGAGGTGTGGTTAGGTGAAGTGAAGAGGTCGCGTTGGCTGCAATGGCCAGAAAGCGAGCTGTATGTGACCGACCGATGTGAGAGGCTATGGAGAGACGGAGGGTTGTGGGGCTGAAGACATCGGATCTTATATCAGGCGGGCTTCTGAGACTCGCAAGCATTTTGCAAGTGCTGTAGCTGCTTTAGGAAAGCGAGACTGGTTGTAGCTGCTTCATTGGTCAACCACAGCGGTATTGGATATGTGTACCGTATTTTTTCAGGACTAATGCGACATGCTGTAAGGGTCATGAGAAAAGGAGTCGATCCTGAGAGTCCATATTCCATTTCCTGCACGATCATGCACTGGGTACGGAAAACCACTGCAAAGGTTCCGACTGCGTGTTTCTTGTCCAAAACCATCCAGCACTGGCACGGCCATGGATTTGCGCATAACTTGCAGGGGGCCAGACGGAGCCACTTCTGGATGCGTGAACCGATGCATCATACCACAGTACTCCATTTTTGCACAGAACCGTGTGCTTGCAATCAATATCATTTCCTTTTTATTGGATGATCGCCCGCAAAACCCAGAAATCCGAGGATGTCGTGCCCCAGCACCAGTAAAGCCACCAACACTCCATCTTCCCCTCGTGCATTCGTCGCTTAACGGTAGGACTTCTGGTATCTCGCACGAGCGCCGGGACCGCCGAACTTCTTGGGCTCGCACCTCCTGTTGTCGGCAACGAGGAGGGTACGGTCGTACTGGACGAGGGCCTGCTTGAGCTGGTTCTTGGAGTGCTCATCGACGAACTTCTGGTAGTAGGCGATCTGTGCAAATTGGTTAGCGATCCGCTGGGCCTAGGGATTCCCCTGGAGATGGCACGCACGATGGACTTGGCGATGGCCTGGCGGATGGCGTAGACCTGGGAGGTGTGACCACCACCGTTGACGCGGACACGGATGTCGACGTTGGCTGCGCTGGCAGTTAGTTCCCAACCCCTTCAGATCCCAAAACCGTAGGCGAACGCACCGAACTTGTCAAGGCCGAGGATCAGGAGCGGCTCGTAGACCTTGAAGCGCAGGATGGCGGGCTCAACGAGAGAGAGCGGGTGGCCGTTGACCTTGACAAGGCCCTTGCCAGCCTTGCAGTGGGCGACGGCAGTCGCGGTCTTCTTCTTGCCGAAGCATTGCACACTCTGAGGGGCGGACATGGTCGCTGAAGGTTGGCGAGATTGGTGTGCCGGGTGGATGTCGTGGGGGAGTGTCGTCGTCCGCTGTCGCTTCGAAGTCCAGTCGGGCGCGCTCTGAATTTGCGGTGGTTTTCGCTAAACGGATTGTGCGCCGCCGTCGCCGAATCGCCGACGCCGATCTTATCTAATCACTTGGCTGGTCTTTACATCGCCGCCAAAGCCCTGCCGCCGCAACCCGCACTTCCTCGTTCTCCCCGACTACCGCCTCTGCGCGTTCCGGAAACAATGTGGCTTCTCCCCCACGAGCAGCCCCGGCGCGCGCCACCCACCACGCTCTATGCGTTCGGCTCCAATGGCTCCGGGCAACTGGGCCTAGGTCACACTGAGGATGTATCAGAACCGCAGCCTGTCGCAGATACCCATCGCTTTCGCGACCAGCAGCCAACGTGGATGGCGGCTGGGGGGAACCACACTGTAGTACTGACGGCCGACTGCGAGATGCTTGCAGCTGGCGATAACTCAAACGGACGCATCCCGTGGCAAGACTTGTCCGCTGGACTTCCCAGATTCACCGACAGCTTGGTACCGAGACTACCTACCCCGCCGTTCGTCAAGCTCTGCGCAGCTACTTGGGAGGCATCCATGCTCGTATCCGAAGACCGCGTAATGACCTGCGGCACAGGCAACCATGGGGAGTTAGGCCAAGGCGAAAACGTCAGAGAGTCGCCATGGCCCCAGAAGATCCCAAAGTTCCCTCCAGCAGAAAGTCGTGTAGTTGACATTGCCGCGTGCATGAGCCATACCGTGGTTGTGCTGGACAACGGAGAAGTGTACGGGTGGGGCAATGGACGCAAAGGGCAGTTGGGCGAGCCTGCAGCAGTCGTTTGGTCGCCTCGGAAGATCGAAGGCATACCTTTTCATGCAGTCCGCGTCACCTGTGGGCGCGAATTCACCTACGTCGCTGGCAACGCTCGCGAGGGCAAGCACCTTGTTCTCGGATCAGATAAGTTCTCTGTGAAATCAGCAGCCCCCGTGGACATCACAGATTACGTGGACATCGGATCTGGCTGGAGCAGCATCTATGTTTTGCTCAGAACTGGCCGAATCCTGGCATGGGGGCGAAATGATCGTGGCCAGTTGCCCCCAAAAGACCTCCCTCCCATCGAGTTCATGTCCATAGGCAGCGAACACGTGCTCGCGAAAGTCAAGGACGGGAGCGTTGTGGCATGGGGGTGGGGCGAGCACGGGAACTGTGGAAAGCCTACCGATGCAGCTGGCAACGTGGTCGACAGCTGGAATGAAATTAGTGTCAGGGGCGAAGTCAAGATGATTACAGCTGGGTGCGCGACGAGCTTCATTCTTACGCACGACGACGGATCAATTCAACAGGAGAGTGAGGCTTGAATTTCACGCACGTTTCAATATCCAGCACAGTAAAGTCAGGTATGTCCATATATTACGCTTCATGAAGACAGACGTACGCCTTAGTAGGCTTTGCCAAGGCTGTCTTTGTCACAGTGAAGCGAGTGACAGCTCCTGTCAACCAAAGTTGAATTGCCAAATATACATAACTCTATATACACGACCTCGTTCTTATTGCGGGGTTCAGCGACGCGCACTGTAGCTAGGAGGACAAATCGTGTGGGAGTCTACCCACGGTGAGCGGACGGGCTTAGAAGAGTGCGAATGATAAGGGGGACATCGGTGTTGCGCGGCAGTGCGAGATGACTTTCTCCATCTGTAACGTCTTTCCTCTTCGAGGAAGCGACCTGATGATAAGCACAGAACAAGGACTTGGACGAATCGCTCTTATCTCCAAAACATGCCGGACGGCTCTGACTGAAGACAGACGGTCTGCCACTGCGGTTTGTTCGTACAGCTTGAGGATGTCGTCGCATCAAGCAAAAGACGACGCGACAACGGATCTGCATCTCCATGACTCGAGGAGCACAACGTGGGAGGCTTGTACTACGTAGTAGGGTACAGTCCCGCCTAGAAGGCTGCGGCTTTCACAGGACCGGGGTCATGGCAGTGTTTGGCGGTTTAGCAGATGTCTGTACGAGCTTGGTGCGAATTTCCAAGATTTCGGTACCCGTCAGTCCATCCGCCTGATTTCAGTGGCATGACTGGATTGAGCGCGTCTTTGGATTACAAACCCCGCGAACAAGCATGGATGGGGTCCAGCTGTTTGTCTGGTCAGCCGCTCCGTGTTATCGTTCGCTGTTTGCTCGGGTCCATATGGGGGCTTCAGTGCTGTGGGCGAAGGCAGGCGGTGCTGCACTCTAGGTCGTGCATGTTATTGAGAGCAGCCATGCACCCGGTCCTGGGCCGGGGCAGGCCAGCAGCAGCAGCAGCACCGCAAGGCGCCAGACTCAGCCTAAACCGGGCTGGAGGGGGCAGTGAAAAGCTAGCCTGCGGTACAGTTCCCCACCCCCGGCGTCCCTCAGGCGGCTCGGCGCGGCGACTCGATGACGCAAGGCCGCCCCCAGGGCCCGCGGCATGGGCAAGGCTTGTAGGCGTTGCAGGGCTCGTGGGCACGTAGCTCTGGGGGGCGCGAGAGGGCATCTGCTGGAGGAGCGGCGGGGCTGGATGGGGCAAGTCGAGCACGCGTCGCAATGCACGGCAGCGGCGCGATTGGGCGGGCGCGGGCTTGGGCGGGCGGGCTTGGGGCGGGCTTGGGCGGGCTTGGGCAGACGGGCAGACGGGCAGACTTGTTGGGCGGGCGGGGACAGCAGACGGCCCGGCCGAGGGCAGCGTTAAGGTTGGCGCACAAGGTCGCAGGAGCGGGCGAGCGCGCGGGCGGCTCTGCAGCGCTGGAGGGCGTGTTTGGCGTGGAGCAGCCCGCAGCCCGCAGCCCGCAGCCCGCAGCGCGCGTGATGTCTGGGGCGCGCTCTCGGCGCCCGAGCCCCAGGTACAAGGGGCATCGCTCGCTCTTCACCACAACAACAACAGGGCAGGCTACTGCTAGGACCGCTGCGAGCGACTGGGGTCGGCGGAGCTGGCGGCCGGCGAATCGACCCCTCTATACGCATTACGTAATAGTTAACGTATAACAATCGGTTGCTCTCCCTTTTACTCACTCCGGCAACATCGAAATGCCGAACAAGGTAGCTCTTCGCCCACGCCCTCGAGCGCTCCCGCAACACGGCCTCTGATCACAGCCAGCAGGTCCGCCTCAACCCCGGGCACCACCCCAAGCGTTCCACCCCGCGGCGTCGAGGTACCCAGCATGCGCCGCCGCCGTACGGCACCGAGCCCTTCGTTTCCACGCAGGCACCGCCGATGCAAGCAGGAGTCTCGATGCCCGCCGCACATCCATACCAGCCCACCATGATGCCCGCCGCCCACTACCCTCCGCAGCCTCACCCTCCTCCAACCCACCCGGCCCATCCGCTGCACCAGCTGCAGACCCAGGCCGCCCACCACCAACACCAGCCGCCGCCGCCGCACCAGCAGCAGCCGCACCAGCCCCAGCCGCCCGACCCCGACGACCACCACGACCACCGCCGCCAATCCCACCAGCAGCAGCAGCAGCATCAGCATGCCAATGCCCCGCCCGACCTCGACATCCCCACCCCCCGCGAGGGCAGCACCTACGCCGACTTCGAGGCCCTGCGCTTCGCCGTCAACAGCTGGGCCCTGCGCGACAAGTTCCTAACGCGCATCCACAAGAAGGACCAGACGCGTGCCATCTACCAGTGCCGCCACTTCCTGCAGGGCTGTCCGTGGAAGCTGCGCGCCACAATCAACAAGGACACGGGCGTGCTGACCGTGTCGTCGGTCGTCGCCAACCACACCTGCACCCGCGACGTCTACGAGGATGCCGACGGCAAGCCCAAGTACGCGAAGCGCGGCGTGCAGCACACCCAGCGCTGGGTCAAGGATGTCATCCAACGCGCCGCCTTCCACGTCTCCCTGGACACGGAGCCGCGCGCCATTGTCGACCTGATTCGTGAGCGCTTTGGCGAGGAGATCACCGAACGCCTCGCCGCCAAATCCAAGCAGAGTCTTCTCGAGGCTCGCGGCGAGGCCATACCCCGCCGTCCCAGCCACAAGCAGCCTGGCGCCGGCCCCAACAACACCGACCTGGTCGACCGCCAACGCGACTTACAAGCCGCAATGGAAGAGTCGAGGCGTGTGGATCGCTTGGCCCGCGAGCAGCAGGCGGTGCAGCAGCAGAGCGTGTCAATGCAGGCGGTGCAGCATCAGCAGAACCTGGTGGCTCAGCAGCAGCAGCAGCAGCAGCAGCAGCAGCAACAACAACAACAACACCATCACCAACAGCAACAACAGCAGCAGCAACAGCAGCAGCAGCAGCAACACCACCACCAGCAACAACAACAACACCACCAGCAACAGCAGCAGCAGCAGCAACAACAGCAACAGCAACAGCAGGCGCTGACTTTTGATCTTAACGGGCACGATATGAACGGGGACCCGATGCCATCCGCCTCTGCGCAGAACCAGAATGAACGTCCCTTTGTTTTCGAGAGTGGTGTGCGCGTTATCGGGCCCGCAAGTCCGCCGCGCACATCGCAGCGTCGCCAAACCATGCCTGCCACCTCCTCCCTCTCTGCCACAGACTATTCCTCTTACAACACGTCCAACAGTACCAATGGCTTTGGCAACCTAGTTGGCAATGCGGGCCCCGGTCCGTCCGCATCCACGGCTTCAAGCACGACCGGCCGGGCTTCTGCGCTCCCCGTGTCACCTGCCATAGTCGAGCCACCGCAGCTGCAGCGTCCCTGTCCGAATTGCTCTGGCTCGGGCATGGTGCGGGCCAATGCGCCCAACAATAGGACCGGTGGCGGCAACGAGGAAGAGACTGATGAACTATCTCTGCTGCAGAAGCAGGTTCATATCATAGGAAAGCAGATAGCGCTGATGCAGCGGCGTCGTGCTAACGGCGCTGGTTGAGCAGAGGCATTGAGTCTGGCAGTGAGCCCCGCTCCTGTACCCCTAACTCGTCTTTATTTCTAGTTTCCACGGCGACATGAAAATCTCTCTCGACCCACGTTGAGAACAGCGGCAGCTTCAGGCGTATCCAGCGCCGTCCGCGAAGGGCGGAGCGGGCGACGCTCGGCACAGTGCACATGCGGGCGGGGCCAACCCCCCCGGCGGGCCAGTCACTTTCTTTTTATTTCCTTGTACTGCACCAGTGACAGCCACTGGACTACGGACCAAGTGGCTGATCCCCTTGTCAGGTTTTTTGGTGGGGTGTGGATGGAATTGGTGGTCCGGAGAAAGATCCGGGCTCAAACGAGTCCTGCGCGCTCACGCACATACTTTTCAAAACACACGCACACACACACACACGCACGCACGCACGCCCCTTCGCCGTGGGAACCCAGATAACTTCTTGTACGATATTGGGGGAGGAATTTTGGAAGGCCCCGCTTTTTAATACAGTAGGAGAGACAGTCAAAAAGAGCGAAAGTTACAGCCGAAAACCTCGCACAGCAAAGCGGCATCGCAACCGGCCGGCTCCCAGCACGCACGCGCACATCCACATACATATCATTGGATAGTTTTGATGCACAGAAAACAAAGCGGGTGCTGTGCTTCTCCCTTTTTTTTTTCTTCTTTTCTCTATTTCTATCTTTTTTTTTTGATACCGTCCTCCTTGGATGAGCAGAGAGAGCAAGGACCACCACGCACACACGCACACACGGCGGCGCATGCGGGGGGACAAACAAAGAACGACGAGCAACGCGGAGATGAAACGCTATATTGAACGGCCCCCTCAACCCTTCTGTAATCAGTACTTATCACCTCGAGGCAAAGAGAGAAGAAGCGAGCGACGACGACGACTGAAAGTTTTTCCCATTTTTATTTTTATTGTTTTCTCTTGCTTTTTGGGGCAGATCGTCGATTGAGCATCGTTATACATATTTCCCCGTCCTGAAACGACGACGATGACCGATTGACCGGTCTCATCCTCCATCCAATTGCTCCATGAACCGTGACTCCTCTTCCATGAGTGAAAGAATGTAATAGATTCTCGTGGCGGGTACGGAATATAACCTGCTGTGTATCAAGAAAGGAACCGAATGTGTCTCTAAGCAAGAATTCTCTCTCCAACGCAGTCAATGTGTGCAACTTGACCTGAGATCATGTTTCCCCTTCTATGCCAACGCCCACAATCCAAGAAAATGGAGAGCCAAAAAAAAAAAGACTAGTTGTACAAACAAACAAAAAAAAACCTGAGCACCATGTTGGTTTTGGGGTATCATCCTGAAAGAGAGCCTTCTCTTTCCTTTTTCCTGTGTCCCTTTCCCCCCTCCCCGTGGTAATCCTACATCGCTACCCGGCCAGCCGGGCGTTCAATCACTATCAAACGGATCGTTCTCGATCTCCCACCGCTTCTTCCCGAGAGCGCGCTGCCGCCTCGGGCCGGGAAGCAGCACGTTCGCCCCTTTGCTGGGCGAGCGCAGCGGCAGCTGGACCTTGGGCGTCAGCGAAATGCCAGCGCCCATGCGGACGGCGTTGCCATCACCAGGAGGATGACGGTGGCTCTTCGACGGGCTGCGCATCTGCTGCTCGCGCTGCAGCATGTCGACCTGCCTCCGCAGCGCCGCGTTCTCGTCTTCTAGCTCGCCGATGCGCTGCTGCTGCTCTTCGTCCCGCTCCCTGCTGCTTGATCCCGCCATTTCTTCGTCTTCATCGTCACCGCCATCTTCCCTCACCTTTACAACCCCCTTCGTCAAGATCTCCACCTTCCGATCCCAATGCTCGTCCGCCCGATCCGCCTCCTCGTCCCAACTCGCCTTATATCTCCGCTGCAAGCCCTCCAGGCGGCTTTCGTACTCTGCATACAGCTCCTCGCGCAACGCGGCTTCCGCATCAACCGCGTTCTCCTCGGCAGCGCGCCAGCCCGCTTCCGCCTGGCGGCGGCGCTCGCGCTCGTCACGCAGCTGAATGTGCAGCACGTCGAGGGCGTCGGCAAGGCGGATCACCTCGGTCAGGGTGTTGTCGAGCTGTTCTTCGAGGGCGTGCACGATGGAGGGCGTCATGCGGCCATTGCTGTGGCTGGTGGCGGGGCGGCGGGGTTGTTGGTGCGTCCCGAGTTGAATGGTGGAGGTGACGGAGGGGACGCGGGGAACGGTGACTTCGCGGGCGAGGGCCGAGTAGCGGAGGATTTGCGAAGTGGCGTTGTAGTCGCCGAGCGGGTCTGCGGTGACGACCATGATGGCGCGTTGCGGGACGCGGTGGGAGTGGTGGGAGTGGTGGGAGCTGTTCGAGCTGGGGAAGGAGTTGGCGAAAAGCAATTCTGTCAGCTTGCACTGTCTGAAGGGCATCACGGCGCGTTTGTTGTTGCCGTTCCCGTTGGCAGCGGCCTCGGCGCTGATGTCGGATTGCATTTGCATGCATTGGCCCAGGTACATGAGCGACTCGTTGATCTTGCCCGCTTCGGCCAGCGTCTCGCCGGCAGTTTTGGCGTTGCGGGCGCGTTCAGAGCCTGTAGATATTGCTGTCAGCCTTGCTATCTCTTGGTTCGAAGCTACGAAGTAAGGAGTGGAGGAGTGGAAGTTACCGGCAAGATCACATATGGTCAGGGTGCTGCTGCTCCAGGGGCCCCTTGTGGCCCTGTGGCGCTTCTTGACCTCGACGCAGAAGAAGCCGTGGCTGCGCGAGCTGACGGCATTGCTGCCGGTACCCGTGACCTTTCGCTCCAGCAGGCCCGTCTCCAGAACCATAAGCGCCTCGTCCAGGCTGCTGCAGATGATTTTCTTGAGGCCGGCGACCTGCTTGCGGTCTGGCGAATGCTCGGTCGGCTTGAAGAGCAAGGCACGGCGGCGGCCACCGTTCATGAGCTTCGAGCTCTGAGAAGCGCCCGTGAGCAGGTCGAAGATGCGGTCGTTATAAACTTCGAACATGGAGACGACAATGGCGTACTCAGCCGTCTGGTCGACGTCGACGGCGATGTCGTCGACGGGCGGGTGGTCGGGCATGTTCGAGAGGCGCGGCATCTGATGGCGTTGCTTGGAGGCGAAGGCGGCGGTGCTGAGGAAGGAACTGTTGCCGTCCTTTGCGGGTGATTTCATCTTAGCTGCTGTACTACGTGTGACGCGTGTAATGCTCTCTGAGACGAGACTTTTGGTGCTGAGGAACGGTAATTTGGAAGGAGATGATTTCTTCTCATTGCCGAGCTGGCTGAGCTTTTGTACAAGACTGGAATATAGGCTGACGGAGGGGGTGTGGGTGGGAGTGGTGGTTGGTGAGCATACCAGTCCTGGCGTCTGGGCTCTGGAGGCCGCATGGGAGTCTCCGTAGAGGGCATCGAGGTAGAGCGAGGCGGGGAAGACGTGGGCTTCGGAGACATCGGCGGCGGCGATGGAAGGGAAGGTTGACGACGAGGTGGCAGGGTCGACGAGCAGGTCGCCGATGTTGGCGAAGAGGACGTCGAGAGCCATCTGGGTCATGCCGCGCTCATACTTGGAGCCCAGGATGGTGTGGCTCTGTACGCGGTTAGGTGCGTGTCGGAGGGGCAGTCCAGGCTGCGTCATACCTTTCCCGAGCCCGTCATGCCCAGGGTTGCCAGAAGACCGTCGCGGCCCTCGTGGCCCTCGGGGCCCAGCACGCCCTCAATGAGGGGCACCAGGCCGGTGCCTTCGAAGAGGTCAAGCTGGGCGGCATGCTCTTCGAAAACCCTGGTGAAGGCAAAGCGCTCGACGGCCTTCTTGCGACGGTCGTTCTCCGGCGGCTTGATGGTGATGTGGGAGGGGAACTCGGTCTGCGGCGCCTCGATGTCGAGGAAGCGGGCTCCGGCGGTGGCGGGGCGCAGGCGCAGGTAGACCTCGAAGAGCGATGAGTTGGCCATGGCGAAGCGGCTTTGGTGTGACGCGGGCGTGGTGGTGGGCGTGCAACGGCGGGCACAAAAGGCGACTCAGGCAGGTGCGAGCGGGTAAACAGCGCGTTGGCACGACGACACGCGGCCGGCGCATCCCTTGTCCATTCCCGCCCTCGCCACCAACCACACCTCATTCCTGGCTTCTTCCTCGAGCACCCGCGCAGGGCGGGCCGTCTCAACGAAAAAGAGGTCGCATCGGCCAGAAGCAGTGCAATACTGGCGACACTGTGGCCGCGGCGATTGAGCGGAGCTCAGCGCGCCGCTAGACCGATTGCCAAAAACTGGTTTAATCAACAGAAATGCCCCCGTAGGGGCGTTCTAGAGATTAAACTAAAAAGAACAGCTACTACACTTGATCTAAGCCAAAAGGCGAAGAGAGCTGGAGAGGGAAAAGAGGAGTGTCTGGTCGAGGAGGCCGGGCCTTTAAGAGGACGGAGGGCTGGCGGGCTGGCGGGCTGGCGCGTGAGCCGGCGGTGCAGGGTCCGCAGGGCAAACGAACGGTCGGGTAGCCATGACCGCATTCAGGCCGCACGTGGTGACTTGTTTGGGAGGTGGTGGTCATCGTGGAGGCGGAACGGACCGCTCAACACCATGTGCACCGCCCGCGTGATGCAGACGAAGTGGTCATACCTACCCCTGCACCCACCATAGGTCCTGATGACGTCGCCCCTTGCAGCCATATTCCAGCCAGGAAACCACTTGTCACTCACTGCGGCAGGGGCCAATGGGGGCTGGCAACTTCTCAACTGTGGAAGGACCTTCTCGAAACACAGGCCCACCTGGTCAGAACACCCAACTGATAGATCACGCGTAGCCACCGAGGAAGAGCGAAGCAATCCCCCAGCACGATGACAACAAGAACAACAACCCTGCACACCAAACTCCACTGACCTCTCCAAACTGGAAATCTACCATTCCCAACCCGCAAGAGACTGACAGGGGCGGCCGAAACAGAGAGCTCTGGCCAGGGCTGCAAGGTTCCGGAAAGGCACAGAATCACTCAGATGTACCCACATACATATGCACGCATGTGAGATTCTTCACGAAAAGGATCGACAAGGGATCAGAAACCTGAAGAAGTCTTTCGAGAATCACAAACACCCTGCAAACCCACTCACCCTGCCACATCCCGCAGATACCTTGCCTTCCGCTCCTTCCTCTTCCTGTCCACAGCATGAAGCAGCTGCGGCCCTTCAAACGCCACGACGCTCCACAAGTAAAAAATAACCAGCACCACGACGAGCGGGATCATCAAGCCTAAGTTGGCAAAGTTGGTAGCGGCGCTGACGGCGACCAGCTGCGACAAGACGAGCCACATGGCAATGTAGAAGACCAGCATGCAGCGCGCCAGCGGCAGGTCGTAGACGCTTCCGGGCGCGGCGATGCCCGACGCAGTTGTGGGGCGATGGGGCAATGGCAACGGCGTTGATTCCGCCGAGAAGTCTGTCGTCATCGTCGTCGTTGGCGAGCGTGTCGCTACCATTTCCGTCTCGCCGCGGCTCCCTTTGTGAGAGCTAGACATTGCCGAGGAGCGCTGGCTCTTGCGGTGACGTTCGATCTTTTCTTTCGTCTCTGTGTGGAATGCGTCAGAGTGCCCATGTTCGAATGCTCGCTGCGGCGTTTTCGCTTACCAAAATATGCTTCCAAGCCCATCAGAGCGGGCAGAGCCAGAAGAACGAGGGGCAGGATCTGCCCGAAGCCCCATTTGTTGAGAGTCTCCGTCTCCTGGTCTTTGCGGTACGGGACGGTGTAGTCTTTGCGGATGGAAATCACCTGGCCGATACCAAACGTCGCTCCGAACAGGAGCCAAATGAGATGCCACAGGAAGGAACTTGCGAACGCTCTCTCGATTGCGCCGGCGAGGGAGAAGAAGCGTGCGATCCAGACACAGACGTGGCGCAAGAGTGACCATCGCCCGAGGGGCCCGTTGCGAAGACGATCGTCCACGGCTTGCATGACTTTGTCGAGTTTCTCCAACGAGTCGTCCTCGGCCGTGGGTTCTTGTATCTCCAGACCGAGAACGAAGGCTATCTGTCGGGTGGGCCAGCTGTACGACGACTTGACGTTCGCCGAATACAGGGATATCATCCTGCTTGCATAGGACAGAATAAGCCAGGCGATGATGAGGCACAAGTTGGCGATTTCGTATCCGTCGATGGGAGAAAGCTTGAAAGATTTCCTCAGCGCGCAGCCGAAATAGATGTCCGTAGACGAGTGCTGCACGCTTTCCGAATTGCTTATGATCTGGGCGACAGCCAGCATGAACATCATGGCGACCATCATGACGGCTCGGAAGTTCCGGGCGATGCGGTGGGTATCAAAGTGCTTGGTCAGAATGGTAAGTGTAGCCAGGTGGGTGGTGGATGAGAACCAGGCGAGGGCGCCGGCCATCTGGAAAGAGTAAATGGAGATATCGCACGACTTGGTGTAGATGGTGACCATGATGGCGATGCCGGTGACGAGCTGCTGATCGCTCATGGCAAGAATGAAACGCTCCAAGGCGGTTGACCATTGTTTGACCAACTCTTCTTGGAATTGCGTGTGATGCAGGTGTGCCGAGGACAGACGGGCACGCAGTTTCTTGATCCGGGAGAGACTGGGGCTGAAACAGAATTTCACGAACGTGGTTACGGTCACGGTGACGGCCTGGTCGACATGGTTTGTCTCGGTGCCGGGCAGGCATTCGCAGAGGTAGCCAAGGATAATGGCCAACAGGGAGAAGGCTGCCGTGGCAATGAACGAAACAAGGACCTTTTGGAGGATGGCTTAGTGTGGGCAAGCAAGACCGGGTTTAGCCAATTAGCAATCGAGACTTACTCCGATACCAGCGATGTCGACGTCATAAGGGTTGTCGGTCCCACAGGCTCTCGTGACGCCGCAGTACCTGAAGGGTTCGTCGTAGGAATCGTTTGTATAAGGGAGAGACATGGTGGAATGGCGGATGCACAGCCATACACACAGTGGGTGAGAATAGGGCTGAGGGTGGGGCCGATAGTCCTTATTTAGTGTCCGAACAGGGCCGGACAGGGCGATTTATTTTGGCGCACTGTGGGCCGAGAACGGCTAGCATGGCAGCCCTAGCTTGGACGCTCAGTGCTGGCGCTGTGACCCTCCCTGCTGTCCCTCAAGCGCGTCCGCACCTTCATGAGAGCCTTGCCCAGGAGATTTTCGCCCCAGTCGTCCCGGACATGGTCTGCGTGCTCGCGGGCGAAGCCTATGCCCCAGATGCGGTCGTACGGAGAAGCCTGCATGAGCCAGAGCAGGTCAGCCTCGGGTGTTGACGTGGACAGGGCTTGCGGGGCTTGCCTCGACCAACTCCCGGTCTCCTGTGGCCAGCAGCATGTCTGCCAGCCGAGCAGCCTCCTTGCTGCTGGTGAACTTCCACCAGTTGCCCTCCTCGACGATGCGGAGCTTGTCTGGGAAGGGGGCGAGTGTCAGCACGAGCCACCATGCGTGTTGGGCGGGGCTACCGACTCTCATCCCATACTTTGCGGTCGAAATTCTTGACCTTTCTCCCCAGACTCTTCTGCTTGGCGGGCGTGGGAGCCGCGAGGATCTGACGGGCGATGTCCTGCAGGGCGGGCAGGGGGTAAGCGGCAGGCTTCAGGGACGTTGAGCGGTGCACACAGACCGTGTCACCGAAGAGATTCGCCTTCTGCGCCATCATCCACATCTCGGCGGTGCGGTAGGTGATGGTGCCATGGTGGAATGCGCAGTCGTACCATTGCGAGAGAAAGCCGTACGGCTCGTCGTATTCGCGCCAGAAATAGATGGGGGAGTTGTCCGTGTCTGACCCGACGATCGTGGACGACATTCTGCTGATGAAGATGTACCGTCAGACTGTTTGGCGATAGGTAGATGATGAAGGCCGGGCGGGTGGAGGATGTGACTGCCCTACTGACGTCACACATCAAGCCAATCAAATGAGTTGCCGAAGACGAGTCGCCTCGGCGACTTCCCCAAACCGAAAAGGCGGAAGGTCACAACAGACAAGCAAGCAGTTATGGAAGGCAGAGAGGAGGTTTCGTTTGGATCCTGGGTGCGGGCCATAGGGAGCAGTGAATTCCACAACGCTCTCCCCCCACTCAGCCAGACGCCGTCCCTTGGCTCGTCACTCATGCACTACATCCCGGAGACCCGCGTTGCGAATTGCGAGGCTCTCTTTGAACAGCTTTTCGCAAGACTGGTAGAGGTCACGGAGTGGAGAGGCACTCGGAAGGCATTTGGGAGCAGCCCACACGCAATCCACAGGCTTGATCTTTGGCTCTCAAAGCCTGTAATGGTAGGCATGTCTGATGAAGGAGACGAGACTGTCCATCCTGGCACATCACGCCCATCACACGGAGATCGTGCTTCACTGACAACTTCCGCCACCGTCTAACGCACATGATTCCGGATACCCAAACGGCAGACCTTTGATGCCGCGTCACCCAAACACCGGCAATCGGCATGAACCAGGGTCATTGCAAGGCATATGCTGTAGCTTCTTTTCGTAGACGACTGACACAAAACAAGCCAAAGTCACAAGAATAGCGCAGGACAGCCAATGAAAGGTGGCGACGGGCGTCTCCCCGGAGCGTGTCTGGGATTGGTGGCAGCCCATAGTGTGGCTGATGAAAAGTGCCCCCTCGCGGTGGCGCAGACGCCTGTCATTACTCTGATAAGGGAAGGGCATTTTCGCTGAGTTCCGAAGGTCGCTCTCAAGACGGGGTCACTCTCGGCTCGTACGCACGACGGTGCCATTCAGTGGTGATGCGGTTCGATCATTGAGAGTTTCAGGATATGCGTCGGGCTATCTTCATTGATCCTGAACGTCGTCATGGGCGGGCAGAAGGACCCAGGCAGAGAGGTGTTGGGGGGAGAAGCGACAGCAAACGCGGAAAGCTGGGGAATGCATGCAGCACGTGACCGGCAACCATTAAGTGGGCTCAACACCAAAAATGCCGCTTGATCCATGTTCAACGTTGTCGACGCAATAAAACAGGCTGCGGCCTTTAAGACCCATGTGATGTGGATACATCGCACGCCTAGCATGATTCGGACGGAATGGCACCGCGGCTATCAGCGGCGTGCATACGTAGACACGTAGACCAGCACGACAATTCGCCGTGGGCCGGAGACGGTAGCTGGGAGACAAAAAATGCGTCTATTGATGACGCACACGCGGACAAGGCACGCACGCCGAGCCCAAGAAGTTGCCTGTCGCAGCCGCCAAACAAGGAAAAGCAGGCCCGACCCGACCGAACCGAGCCAGGGAAAGAACCGCCGTCGGCACCGAGAGACCAGCCACGTACAAGGGTGCCACGCGAGCCGCTGTGCAGACATTGTATGTATCCTGCTGTTTTCTCCCGTCCGTCCCTTCGTCCGCCAGCCTCCCCTCGGCAAATGCCAGTTTGCGGGACTGCTCGTATGTACCGGACACTTGCTGTCGTCAGGCGCCACCTCCGTCTCCCAGCACCGGAAATGGCGCCGTCCCGTGCGGCGCGGGAGCTGCAGAGGTGACAAGGCTGCCTGCCTTGCGCGATGCGAAGCCAACGAAACAGGAAAGCGAACATGCAGACCAGCTCAAGGATGCAAGATGGTGGCGCAACTCAACCGCCCTGACTCGGGGACCCGCGGCAAGTGTAGCGATGTAACCGCCGCGAAAAACAACTGCAGAAAAGGCTTGGGCCGCGCTGATCTGCAAGGGTTCTCGCATGTTGCTGCAATTGTTGGCCAACGGCGTGCAAATCCGGCTGTCATGCTTTGCAACACGCCGGGATGATTGACCGTCGGTCAAGCTTGCGGCGGTGTGAGCGATGAGAGGGACACGATGCGGGATTTACCAACTTTGGCAGATCTGGGGAGGGTGGTGCGGGCTTTGTGGAGATGCCAGCGTACTGGCACACTGCGTGACTACCTACAGAAGTTGACCTACGGCAGTCCTTTGTGTGCGCAGCTGAAGCAACTATGCCGACGTAGACGTAGCATCAAACAACCTTCGTTCACGAGCACCTGAACCAAGTATTGATCCCGTGCCACTGCATCCAGCTCCAGATATGCCCATGTAATAAGTGAGCCGACTTCTTTCGTCACTCATTGTGCAGGGAACGCAAAAAGGAACGTGAGCGGTAAAGGAAACGAGAGAATGTCGATTGTTTAGGAACGTCACCACTGTGATTCACGTATGAGAGGGGACTTCGAGTACACTGGTAAAAACTAGTTTTTGGGTTGGCCATCAATCATGAGGGACCGCTTGTCCCTAAAACCCTGAGATCTATCTTGGTATACTCTTCAAGCTTGGCAATGCTAATAGCTGAAGCGAACAAAAAGAAAAAGAAAACGCCGTTCCGTCTATAGCGTGCGCACTCCCGGAAAACAAAACAATGAAACCGAAACACGCTTCATCTTCTGCTGAATAGGAGCGGATAATCGAATTAAACTTTTGTGGGATCGGCTCTGCCTGATCCCAGCCATGGGGTATCTTAGCGCGAAGGAGCAGTTTACTCGATGGCCGAGCCCTCGTGCTTCTCGCTGTGCAGGACGGGGTTGATCTTCTCGTCGAACTCGAACTTGAAGTCCTCGCCCAGCTCGCGCCTGATGGCCGTCTTGACGGCCTCGAGGACGTTGACGAAAACATCGACCGAAGCCGGGTTCTCGTCATCGTTGCCCTCGCCCTGGTAGACACCGGTGCGGACCAGGCAAGTGTTCCAGCCGTACATGTTGCCACCAACGATGTCAGAAGCCGGGTTGTCACCAATCATGTAGATGTTCTCGGGCAGCCTCTCCTCGCCGTGGATCTGCTCCATCCAGGAGGCCATGACCTCGTCGGCGTACTTGTAGGTGGCCAGCTCAGGCTTGCCGTAGACGACACGCTCAAGATCAACGCCAGTCAACGCCTTGTACATGGCCTCGAGACCAATGCGGAAGGCGCCCTGGGACATGCGAGGAGTCCAGTGCTCCGAAGGGCAGAGGAGATCACCCTGGGAGAAGTAGATGGGGATGCGCTGAGAGACGGGGTCCTTAGCCATGGTGCCAAGACGGCCGTTCTCGCTGCGGAGAAGGTCCATGATGATCTGAATGTCGGTGGCGTAATCGCGGGAGTCGGAGAAGACCATGATCGCCTCGATGTTGGTCTTGCTGAAGTCGCGCGGGCGAGACGTGGCACGTTCCTCCTCGGTGAAGACGCGGTAGGGGGCGATCGTGGGGTCCCAAGCAACGATGTCGTTGGGCACGACAATGTCCTTGAAGCCGTACTGCTCGGCAACCTCGCGGCACTTGTAGCCCTCACCACCAACGATCAGGACAGTCTTGTAGTACTCAGCCAGCGCACTCATGGGAGTGTGGGACTGGATGAACTGCTCGGTCGAAACAGGGTTCTCGAGAATCTTGGTGAGCTGGTCGCAACGGGGCTTCTCGGGCTTGCCGGAGCCGTTGGTCAGGAAGATGTGGGGGATCTTGATGCCGAGCTCGTTGTCGCCGTTGAGAATCTGCAGCGCCCTCCGGCCCTCGGGAATGAGGCGGTCACCGTGGACGAGCACACCGTCAATGTCGAAAGCGAAGGCCATGTTCTTGGCCTTCTTGACCTTCTCCGAGGACATGCTCTGGACTTGCGAGGCCAGCAGATCGCGAGTGGGCTGGATCGGGGGCATGCCGGGGCGAGCAGGGCGCTCGCCCTCGGGGTAGTGGACGGAAGACAGACGGGACTGCCTCTTGGACCGGGGGATGGGCAGCGAGGTGCCGAAGGAGTTGCGCGAGGCTCTCCTCTCCTTCATGGAGGGCGAGACACTCAGGTTGTGCATGTACTTCTGGGCCTCCGAGATGGAGGACCTGGTGGCGGGCACCTCGACGGGACCCTCATCATCCTGGCCAGGAATGGGGAGCTGGCTGTTCTTGCGCAGCTGGGACGGGCTCGTGGGAGCCTGAACCCCGAAGTCAGAGTCCTCGTAAGCAGGCATGATGGCTGAGAGGTGGTGGGAGGGGTGGACGTTGGTAGAGGTAGTGTGGTGCGAGATGGCAAGAGGTATGGAGCCTTCAGCAGAACGTGAGAGGCCGGCAAGAGAGGGAGAGATGGGCTGAGAGTGGAGCAAGCTCAACGTGACGCTGGCGGCGGTATATATTGCACGGCGGACAGGGCGAGCCAGAGTACTTTCCCGTACCTCTCCGGACGGTGCTGCCTCCAAGCTCCACCGGTGTCATCATCGCGCCGCATCACGAAAAAAGGGTCCTCGCCAGTGCGATTGGAGAGAGCAGCGGCGGGCAGGAAAAGCGGAGCCAACAGCGGGCACAGCTTACCGCAGACGGTTCCGCGGCCCTGAGTGGCGCGCTTGGGGCCCGGCCCTTGCAGAGGAATCCTCGACGTGTCGGCCGCAAGTGGCCAGCGAGCGTTTCATGGCGGCGATAGCAGGTGAAGCTTGGGGACGATCTGACGTATCTGCGCAAAAGTCTGTCCGAGGAGCGCCCGGGGTTCGCTGCGGGCTGCAGGTGCACGAGCGGCCACCCCTGCCACCGCCCGCACAGGGCCTGGTCGCCTCGCAGCCTCCGCCGCCGCCTGGCGGGAACGGCGCAGCGCAGCCACCCCAACTGCCGTACCGTTTTCTCCCGGCGCCTGTAACACTGGAAATGGTTTTTTTTTCTGCACCACCCGGGGGCCGGCACCGTCCCTCGCGGACGCCACATTTCGCCGCCGCCGCGGCCAATGCCCTGGCCGCCGCCCTGGCCTGCACCGCGGCGCCGCGCAGCCCCCGGCGGCCGCAACGGTTCTGCGTAGCAAACACCGCCGGCGAAACTCCCCACCTTACGTCAACTGCAGCGCTGTATGAAAAGCGGGCTTTC